AAAAAGTGGCCCAATGTGGACTAAGTCAGGAGGAGGAATGGTGTTTGAATCAGTATGGGTATCTGGATACACAGTGCTTTTTAATATTTGCCATTATCCACAATTCCTTCTGCACTACCTGTAAGCCTGCACAATAAAGTAATTAAAAAATTAGAGATGACACCATTATGGTAGGGATGCTACCATTAGAAATGCAATCCTCTGCTTCAAGTGCTTCAGTGGCTTCCCACTGCTCTTGGGTAAAAGACGATGCTCCCTTTTTTTTTTTTCCCTGCATTTTTAAAGATTTTATTTATTTAATTTTTATTGAGTTAATGATAGGTTACAATCTTGTGAAATTTCAGTTGTACATTATTGTTTGTCAGTCGTGTTGTAGGTGCACCCCTTCACCCTTTGTGCCCACCCCCCACCCCACCTTTACCCCGGTAGCCACTAATCTGTTCTCTTTATCTGCATTTTTAAATTCCTCATATGAGTGGAGTCATACAGAGATTGTCCTTCTCTATCTGGCTTATTTCACTTAACATAATTCCCTCAAGGTCCATCTATGTTGTTGCAAATGGGACAATTTTGTTCTTTTTTACGGCTGAGTAGTATTCCATTGTGTATATATACCACAGCTTCTTTATCCAATCATCAGTTGATGGGCACTTAGGATCCTTCCACATCTTGGCTATTGTAAATAATGCTGCAATGAACTTTGGGGTGCATGGGACTTTTGGAATTGCTGATTTCAATCTCTTTGGATAGATACCCAGTAGTGGGATAGATGGATCATATAGTAGTTCTATTTTTAATTTTTTGAGGAATCTCCATACTGTTTTCCATAGTGGCTGCACCAGTTTGCATTCCCACCAACAGTGTATGAGGGTTCCTTTTTCTCCATAAAGGAAAAACCTCTCCAACATTTGTTACTTTTTTGTTTTGATTATTTTTGCCATTCTAATGGGTGTAAGGTGATATCTTAGTATGGTTTTGATTTGCATTTCCCTGATGATCAGTGATGATGAACATCTTTTCATGTGCCTATTGGCCATCCATTTGTCTCTTTGGAGAAATGTCTGTTCATGTCTCCTGCCCATTTTTTGATCGGGTTGTTCGATTTTTTTGTTGTTGAGTTGTGTGAGTTCTTTATATATTATGGGTATTAAGCCTTTGTCAGATATATGACTTGCAAATATTTTTTCCCAGTTAGTGGGTTGTTTTTTGTTTCAATCCTGCTTTCCTTTGCCTTGAAGAGCTCTTTAGTTTGATGAAATCCCATTTGTTATTTCATTCTATTGTTTCCCTGGTCTGAGAAGACATGGTGTCCAAAAAAATCCTTTTAATACTGACGTCAAAGAGTGTACTGCCTACATTTTCTTCTAGAAACTTACGGTTTCAGGTCTCACCTTTAGGTCTTTGATCCATTTTGAGTTTATTTTGGTGAATGGCGAAAAAGAATGGTCAATTTTCATTCTTTTACATGTGGCTTTCCAGTTTTCCCAGCACCATTTGTTGAAAAGACTTTCTTTTCTCCGTTGTATGCCCTCAGCTCCTTTGTCAAAGATAAGCTGTCCATAGATGTGTGGTTTTATTTCTGGGCTTTCAGTTCTGTTCCATTGATCTATGTAGCTGTTTTTGTACCAGTACCATGCTGTTTTGATTACTGTAGCTTTGTAGTATGTTTTGAAGTCAGGGATTGTGATGCCTCCAGCTTTGTTGCTTTTTCTCAGGATTGCTTCAGCAATTCGGGGTCTTTTGTTTCCCAATATGAATTTTAGGATTCTTTGTTCTATTTCTGTAAAGAACGTCATTGGGATTCTGATTGGGATTGTGTTGACTCTGTAGATTGCTTTAGGTAGAATGGACATTTTAACTATGTTTGTTCTTCCAATCCATGTACACGGAATGTCTTTCCATCTCTTTATGCCATCATCCATTTCTTTCAGAAAAGCCTTGTTGTTTTCATCGTATAGGTCTTTCACTTCCTTAGTTAAATTCACCCCCCCCCCCCAGGTATTTTATTCTTTTTGTTACAATTGTGAATGGTATTGTGTTCTTGAGTTCTTTTTCTGTTACTTCATTATTAGAGTATAGAAATGCTACTTATTTATGTAAATTGATCCTATACAATGCAACTTTGCTGTAGTTGTTGATTATTTCTAAAAGTTTTCCAATGGATTCTTTGGGGTTGTCTATATATAAGATCATGTCATCTGCAAACAGTGAGAGTTTCACTTCTTCCTTTCCTCTTTGGATTCCTTTTATTTCTTTTTCTTGCTAATTGCTCTGGCCAAAAAAAGACGATGCTCCTTGATAAGGCCTGCGAGGTCTTGAATGCCCTGAGCCCCTCTTAGGGCTCCAGCACATCTTGGAGCCTGCTCAGAGGTGTCCTAAGGCTCCACATCTTGGAGCATGCTCACTGGCATCTCAGTGCTCTCCGACATCTTGGAGCATGCTCACCGGCGCTCTCTCGGCTCTGCCACAGTGAGCTTTCGGTCTGTCATGCTGCTGAGGTTGTTTCCTGCTTAGAACATATTCCTCTCCTTTCTCTGCTTAGTTAGCATTTTCATCCTTCACAGTTCAGGTCAACCATCACTTCCACAGGAAACATTTCCCCACCTCAGATCAGGTTAAATCCCCCTATTACATGTTCTTGCAACACTATATTCTTCCTTGGAAGTGTTTTTATATTTATTTGTTTGATTATTTGATTAATCTTCTGCGTCCGCCACTAGGTGATAAGCTCCAGGAGCACAGGGACCCTCCATTTTTCTCATCATTGACTCCTGAGCTCACAGAGGCCCTGGCACTCAGTAAGCCCCTCAACCATTATTTGCTGATGAATGAATGAATAGAAAGACAACGAACGCTATCTAATTAAGTTAAAGGTCCTTTTCCAGTCTGTAAGTCAGGGATGCTGTGACCTGCCCATCTAACACCACACTCTTCTTCATGTAGGACAAATAGAGAAATTAAGATTATTCCGAAGCAAGAAATGTAATACATTTTCCATTGACAAGAAAAGGAAAGCTATTCAAGGTAGGGGTTCATTTTTACCACACTGCATATTCTATGCTGATTTTTTAAAAATTATAAGCACAATTTGAAACCAAAATGACATGTCTTTTAATTTTCTCACACTGGTAGCCATTGATCTGCATTCGTATTTAAGAGGAAATGCTATTGAATTCAGGAGAAATCTATTTAACCTGCATGCTATTCAAAAATTGCTGGAAAAGCGCAGCTCCTGTACACCGTGCCAGTGACCTTGCTAAGCAGGTATGTTAAATACTTAAATGTATAATTTTCTACAGGCGCTTTCAGTAAAAACATTCTTTCTTCTTTTTCACGTCTTCCAGCAAACCTCATTATCCTTCTTGTGACCCCGTAGGCATCTCATTTTCTTTTGGCTTGTTTGCAAGTTTTAAAATATTAACTGCATCTCCCGCTTCAGGAAGGGTTGCTTGGCTACTACCCTCCCTTTCTAGAGTGTAAATTCTTTTATTTTGCCATCACTACCTTGAATAATGGAGTTTAACGTATTTTTGAAGAAGCGAGGCATAATTAAAAATCTCTTATCTTTATTAAGTAGAGCAATTGTGATTTTCATTCGGAAGACCAAGGGGAATATATATGGGAGAATATGTATTAATTTTGAATAATGTTGAAACTAAATTAAAATAAGGTCATCAGGTGTTAGTCACCATGGAACTGGGGGAAAGGAGCTGGAAGACACAGGATACCAGCTTGGAAGTAAGGTCGGAGTAAAGAAGAGTAAACAAGAGTGAGGATGCTCGAGGGATGGGCTATCAGCTTCATTTGTCAGCTTTTACAGTTACCTACAAAAGGAAACCTATATAATGGTGGAAACTTTGCAGCTGATATTGAGGTCTATGAGATAGGGAAATGCTGAACAATAATGACTTCAAGAAAATTTACTCAGTGATTAAAAAACAATTCTCTAGTACATTCCAGGCATTACGCTCTACTCTGTGGAGGAGTCATAACGCTGCATGAAACAACACCCCTGCTCCTGAGAACCTGGAACTACTACGTAAACGAACATAGAAAGGCCTGTCCCTGCTTTAGCGTTTCTCAAAGTGGGCTTTGACTGTGGGATGTTAAAAGGGATTACAGCAGGCCTTGTCAGAGCCTTTAATGTTAATGAATACTGAGAATCATTTCTAAGAACGGGGTATATTATATAGTGGTTCCCAAATTTATTTTGAAGATACCATCTTGGGTTTGTCTTTTGCTTTGCAGTTGTGTACCTGTTTTTGGAGGAACAGCTTGTCAACTTGGAGTCTAGTATAGCCTAGAACACACTCTGGAAAAGGCTGACATTAAAAAAGAGAGACATGTCTGGAATTTAAAGAATTTTGGAAATCTCTTTATCAAATATTTACTAAGTGCTTAAATCACTGAGAAATGGTATGAGGCCCCATACCAGGCAGCTCTAAAATCCAGTGCCCTGTCATGGCAGCAATATTCCTAACAGCCAAAAAGTGGAGACAACCCAAATGTCCATCAACTGAGGAATGGACAAACAACATGTGGTATATCCATATAATGGAATATTAGTCAACCATAAAAAGGAATGAACTACTGATACACGCTATAACATGAATGAACCTTGAAAACATTATGCGAAGTGAAAGAAACCAGACACAAAAGGCCACATATTACATGGTTCCATTTATCCGAAATATCCAGAATAGCTAAATCTGCAGAGACAGAAAGCAGATTAGTGGTTTCCAGGGACGAGGTGGAGAGGAGAATGAGAAGTGCCTGCTAACAGGTATGGGGTTTCTTTTAGGGATAAAGAGAATGTTCTGGGATTAGATAGTGATGATGATTGTACAACCTTGTGAATATACTAAAAAGCACTGAGTTGCACACTTTAAAAGGGTGGCTTTTATAGTATGTGAATTTTTTTCAATTAAAAAAATGGAGGACCCCACCATACCAAGTGGTTAGCCCTCCCATATTATAGGAATTGAGAACACAACCTTTTCTTGTGAACAATTATATTTAATGAAGGTACTAGCTATTATTTACAGAAGATATACATACATACAATTCCTACACATTAAATGTAGCCTAACTGTGAAAACAGGAAAAAAATGTACTCCAAAATTACATACTAAATAAAATAAATAAAAAGTATTTGGCACAATATCTATTATGTAGCAAATAAATAACTCTATACCATTGATTGAATGAACTATTTACAATCTTTTTGAAAGTGCAAAACAATTGCTGAAAATTAAGGTATTTGTAGTAACATTTAAGTCCAGAAAAAATGTGTGTGTGTGTTTTTTAAATCAGTAACAATAATTGGCCAATAGTAAAGGTCTTTAATGCCCAGGAAAATATTTTAATTTTGAAAAATGTTTTGTGCATATTGTGCTCTTTTGAAATGTTAGTTTTTTATCTTAACGCTGGCAATTTTAAGAACCTTGGAGTTTCTTAGTGGAATTCTTATGTACGTAATCCTGATTTGTAAGTTTAAAAAAGTTACGTTGTAAACATAAATATTATTCTATATATCATTCAGAAGTTACAGACCAGTCCTCTCTAAATTACATAAATAGCCATAACGTTTTATAGTAATGTGGTCAGGTTCAACCTCCCCACGTTAAGACTATGAAGATGGAAGAACACAGCCTATAATTTGGATTTACATGGATTCCTCAACACCTTCCCAAAACCCCATGCTCCAAATCAAGATGTTGAGTTAAAAATGATGAAACTATACCACCACTGATGTATGCAAATAAATCCCATTTGTAGCACATCTCACCCTGTAAACATTCTTAGAAACAATGACAGGGGCTTAATATTTCTCTTGACAATATTTCTACCAAACTCTTCATGTGGGTCTTATTTCATGTTTCAGCAAAGAAGATGGCACAATTGGAAATAAAACAGGGTGACTACAAACTGGGGATTCCTAAGCTAGAGTGTGCAAGCTTTATGCAAGTCAAATAATTTCTTCTCTTGTCATGACGCTGGTAAGCTGAATGTAGCTCCAAGATGTCTCAGGATGTGTTTTTGCTTGTTTTGTAGAATTCTCTAGTGACAATACAGTCAGTTGTAGCATAAATGGCATTTTGAAAGATTGTGGACTGGAGGCAAACCATTGTTCTGGGCACTTTAAATGTCTATGGTCGACGAGGCTCTAATCTGTGTGACATCTGTGATAAAGTTCTCTGGTTGTCAATCACATTTAATTGCCGTACATAACTCCGGACATCCTGATGGTTCTTATTAGCTTGAGCGGCATCAGGATCTGTTGAAAGAGAAAAGAGTAGAATTGGCATTGCATAATACACACATATAAGATACAGTTTTATTTTCTCCAACTACTTATTACATTTATCATGGATTCCTGGGTTCCATCAAGACCTTTCAACACACTATATTCATTGAAATGTTTCCACTTGGATGTTTCGTCTCCTCCCTCCTACCTTTTCTTCCCTGGAATCACCTATTTTGATCATTTTCCTTTGCATGGCATGTTGTAAGAAAAATGGTGCCCAATAAAAGTGAAAGGATTGCCTAATTATCGCCCCCGGTTATACATTAAAATTGTTTTCCCTTATCATCCTACCTGTGTCTCACACCCAGATCTCTGTCCCCTTTGATCCAGATGAGGACTAATGGCAAAAGACATAGTTTTCATTAGCTCCTAACAAAAGCACTTACTACCTGGGCTGAACTGAAGCAAGTCAGTGAGACCGTGAAGGCCGACTCCCCTTGTTACTTGCAGCATTACTGCACAGGTCTTGTGGTCTTAGGAAAAAACCAACTTATCGACTGAAGTCATGACTTCTGCTAGACCTTCCATTCTCTGATGCTGCTTGTTCTGAAATCCCAGTTACCACTATTCTCATCCACTCCCCCAAATATATGAGCCACGGAGCTATCTGAAGTTAACCGATTTCCCTAAAAACAGGCTGAAAGAAGAATCAAATGCCCAGAGCCCTATGCAGGGAATATACATGACTAAGAAAGGCCAAATTTGACAGTGGTGAACTGGAAACACAGGTCCCTTTAGAAGTGACTATCTCCTACATGCTGCTGCCACGTGGGAATCTGCACCCTGAGAAGCCAGATTTTGTTTTTCCAGAGAAATGAGAAATCTGAATTTCTTCCCCAGAAGTCTGCCAATTTTTTAATGGTGACATTATTTCAAAATAAAAGGGAAAAAAAAATGCTCTGTTTAGACCCAACACCTCTGCCATGGTGTGTGGGCTGCCTCTGCCCTGTGGATCATGGGTGTGGGGCTCTCGTCCAGTGGGATCTGGGAGTGGCTGAGCTCGAGACTGGACTCTGGACCAGTGTTCTCTCGGCCATAGTGCACTGCCTTCTGCAGTCCATTTGCTCTTCTTTGATCCACACACCACTCCCAAAGACAATCAGAATGCCATCTGCTTAGCGGGCGAAGGGAGTGCTGCAGGTCTGAACACAGAAAAGCAGAGAGAAGATACAAAGGCCCCTTCTCGCTCTAAGAAGAAACTCATCAGTATAATTATCACATATAAATAATACCACAGTGTTTAATTTCCTCGCTTCTCACTGGCAGTGTACTCTACATGTACAATATACTGTAATTACATTGTACATATTCCCACAATGTTTATGAATCTATTCCTATAGCTTTATCTATAGATTGTTGACTTCAGAGCTGAGCAGCTGTTGTTTACCAGCAGTTACTGATAACGTCAACAAATGCAGTGGAGACTTTTATATATACATATAATTTCTCCCCCCACTTCTCCAGGAGAAGATGGAGAAGAGTATACACTTTACTTCCAAAGGGGCTTATGGAACAAAACACACTCTATTACGGTTCTTCTGTGGTACTTGGACCTCACTGAGAACCTTCTCAAGGCTATGAATCCTCTCAGGCACACAAAATTTTGTGTTTAATTTCAGGAATTTCCTGGATTCCCCTGAAGGGCCATGGATTCTAGATTAAAAACCCCTGTTGCAGACTGGCATCACTTATATATTCTCATATTCACTTGTATAACTGCTTTATGACCATGTCTTTATACGTATAGTAAATTAAAATTACTAGATGAAGCGATATGAGACACTTTCATCCTGGCAGAATCCACATAGGAATGGTTGATGATGTGCAAGACTATTCTCATTTTGGAAGAAGTGGAGGCACAATCATTTGAATCAGTTTTTTAAAGGTCTACTTGCTCCCCAAGTCAAGATTATTTTTCCTAGATTTTTTCCCCTTATACATTAAAGAATGAACATTTAGCAGTTCTGGCATCCCTTGTTAGCAAACCCTCACTTTGGGCCAGTCCTGTGCTAGGAAGAGTAAAAATAGCTCTGATTAATCAAACGAGAAACTTTTAGTCTCTTAGTACTACGTTTATTGGAAGGGATGGCACTGCTGGCTTCACGGGCATGGCCATGTCAAATTATCATGTTGACTTACTGAGCCAAATGACTTCAAGTGACTCATACAATGAAGTTGGCAAGAAAATTTACAGGGGCCACCTTCTTACTCCCAGCCCAGCTTGAGGGAGCCAAAACTCCACCCTCACCAAAGCCCCAGCCCAGAGGACACAGTAGCACTGGTCCGGCACGATGATCTGGTGCTGTGATGCAACTTAACTCCCAACAGTTTAAAACTGTTATTTATTATTAGTGACAGTTTTATATTAAAGCATTCTATTATGCCAGTTATTGTGCTATATGTTCAGATTTAAGAAGAGCACCTTAAATTCACCTGGGAATACTAAAAAAGAATATGAATTCCTGCTATGGGACCTTTCACAAATGTGCTATACACATTAATGCCTCCTTGCAACACCCCAAGAGACAATAAATATTATCTTCCCCAGTTTATAAACGACAGGATTGAGTCATCAAGAGTTGATGTGAGTTTCTCAACATCAAGCAGTGAGTCATAAAGAGAGTCGGTCTGAGGCAGGACTTGTTGGCAATCACACCTTGTTTGTCTCTAGCCACACTGGAAAGAGCAAATGAATCCTCTGTAAGTTCATTCATAAAATATTATTTTTATGGTTATTTTCTAGTTTCCTTAAACTCAAGGCCCCTATCACATGGAATTCGTGGTCCAAAGTGTCTCTGACACAATCAGATACTGTCCAGACTTCTAGAATGTCTCAGTAGCCTCATTAAGAAGGACTTAATCACCAAGATCCATATTGCAGCAGGCAGCAGCTTTGAACTTACTGAAGGGTTGGCTCCTGCAGTATCTCACTGTTCTGGCAGTATTTGCAATCATGCGCTAAAAAGAATAAAGAAAAAAGAAAGACAGAAATGCAAGTAAGCGTAGTGTATAATCCAAAAGGAAAACAAACCATTATTTATTTCAGCAATACCTGGGACCACGAAAAACAGCCTGTTCTGCGATGCTGACTATCTGGAGGCAACTGGTTGATGTATAACTGGTTTAACTACTTGAAAGAGGCACCCACACTCGCACATACAAGGCATTCTCCAGGCGAGGAATACTAACGGCATAACTCTAGTCTGGTTGTTTGCTTGCTCCCCTGAACATAAAAAGCAGCGTGTCATTCCTGACTGCTTTTTATTCCTCAGGACTAGTTTTCACCAGCCCTCCTTGAGGTCGCTGCAAAATTTATAAGAGAATTTGTAATTATCCTGGGCTTGGAGAAGGGTTAGCTTGTCAAGTTCCTCACAGTGAACAGGACTCCATAATGAGGTATTAGATTGTACTCAGCAGTCATAGTCAAAATGTTCTACCTGTGCATTTTGCTAGACACTATGCATTACTGAGATTTCTAATCTTCTAGCAAAAGTGTGTGCTTTAATGTTAATCTTAATGATTTGATTTCCTTCCCCCTCCCTCCTTCCTTCCTTTTTCTTCCTTTCTAACACTACCACATGCACAGGGGAGAAAATCAGGAAATTCAGAAAATGTTAAGAACAAAGTAAAAACCACTTAGAATATCACTTCACAGAGTAACTTCATTAATATTTTGGTATATTTTCTTCTAACACCTTAAAATAAGTATATAAAGGCCTATTTTTCAAAAAACTGAAGTCATACTTTACAGATTTTTGTTTTGAATTTTTTTCACAGGGCATTGTGACTATTTTCCATGCCATTTGCATTTAAAATATTTTTCAAATGAGTAGGCATTCAATCCCATGGATAGATCACACTTTATTTAACCTTCGTTAATTTTGTCGTTAAGTGATCTTCTTAATTTCTTTGTAAAATGTTTGGTTGCCATAAAGACATATAAGGGAATCTTTTATAACTGCACCCAACTCAGTTAAAAACAAAAGAAGAAAGGAGAACGAAAATGAAGGACAGAAATACAAGGAAAAACATCAGTGAGACCCAAGTACCATTTCTTAGCCAGGGTGTGCATTTCTTGCTCATGTTATGTTAGCAGTAGCTGGAACCCCAGTCTCTGTGTACTGAGTCAGGACACCTTTGCTGTTCAGACTTTAAAGGGGGTCCTGCAGAGATGGTGGATTAATTCTAACACTGGCAGAAAACTGATAAGGCTCCAGCTGGGAAAAGAGGTTTTTTAATCTTTGAGGGCTATGTAATTCCAGTCCTTGCTTTCTTCTCTCATGGACCCTTGGCCTGCCAAAGTATAGAAAATGACTTTGAGAAAGGTTATATAGTGTTAAAAAAAAATCAACTTATTTGGCAGGAAAAGAATTTATAGAATAGTCAAAGCTTCACAAATATATCCACGTGAACATTCATAACACCTCGCTGAATACTACTGCTTCGAGGACACTGGCAAGCATTAAGAGACATGTGTCTGTACTGGGTAATTTCTCATACACAAAGAGGCAATCGGAAAAGTTCGAACTTGACTTTCATAAAGGATCCTAAAAACCAGCACGTCTGTTGATCAGCATGAGAAATATATTACAAATACCTCCAAGAAAATGTAACATACAATGTATAATTAGCCTCTGATATACGGAGCCCTGAAATAAACAGTCACTATGGTAATTTTCCCGCTAATTTACTTTAAGTTGTTTTTTCACATCTCTAAAGGCGTTGCATCCGAAGGGCACTAGTATATTCCATGCAGAATTATTGTAATTCTTCAGATATTGAATGGCGTGTAATTACTGACAACCCTGGGAAATGCTGCCAGTATGCCCCTCTGAAGAATAATAAAACAATTAGCAGGGGTCAGAAACCTCTTCCTATACCATTTTGTCGGGAGTAATTGTTCTGCTTTTTAGTTTTGAAAGCTAAAACATTTCATTCTGACTTTGGTTTCAGACTACTCTTTACAGCTATACTCCGAGGCTTCATAATTTTTAGCTCATTATGTAGTTTAAAATGTGAGAACAATTGTTTAAATCAGTAATTTCCAGCTCTGGGGTTCATTCTACCTTTCTACGTCTTTGATTAATTTTAACAATGGTTTTAATTTTGACATATCCTTTTTAATTGTCCTTGAAGATAACTTCAGTTTAACTTTGAAATCCAAATCTGGCTTTGCAACGAGGTCCCTTCTCTTCCTTTCTGAGGTCTGCACAATAATGCTGTAATATGTGAACCCTCAGTAACAGTGTGCGAAACCCACTAGGATTGCTGGTCAATGCATAGTTACAGAATGCGTGCACAAGGTCAAAGAAGGGTTAACTTGATATTTTAACTCCACCCTCTTTTGGACTCAGTGACATACGCAATATTTAATATGCTACTGACAACAACCCCCAACCACAAGACACTTTCCTGGGCCACTGAAAGAGACTTCAGAAGTCCCCTCTTCAGCGGTCTCCAGGGTGCCTGACCCCTTTGATAGCCTGCTTATAAACAGTGGCTTCCCACTGTTTGGATGCATCCAGCCACAAGGACCTCATTAACTCCAAAGACAGCCCCTTTCATTTTTAGACATTTCTGACTATTAGAAATTTTTTGATCATTTTGGGTCAAAGTCTTTTTCCCTCTGCTTGTCACCCAGTGATCCTCGTTCTGAGGTCTGGAGCCACAAAAACATGTTTAGTTTCTTTTTAACAGGACGATCCTTCAAATACTTGAAGAAGACTACCAGAGATATTTTCCCAATCCCAAGTCTTTTCTGGTTCAGCCTAAATATTCCCATTTTCTTTAACAATTTTTCATAAGATGGTTTCGAGTCTCTTCTGAACAGCCTCGAGTGTGGCGCCCTAGATGAGGCCAATCACAGAGTGCAGAAGAATTATCACTTTCCTTCCTTGACCTAGATGATGCTACATGTGTAAGTCACATTTTTAAAAAAGTCACTTTGCTGACATCTGTTGAACTAATAGTGAATGAAGCCTCTCAGCCTATTTCACTGAGCTGCCCTTTGGATGCAGGTCTTTCTCTGTAGATATGCAGCTGATTTCTTGGACCAAAGTGGAGGATTTTGCATTTATATCCACTAAAATCCATCTAGTGAGAGTCTTCCTAGCCTTCTGCAGGCTGAAACCTCGGGTGTTATTTGTCATAGCAGACGGCTGCTTATTCGTTGGTGCTCTCAGTTAAGGCTGCCAGAAACTAAGGTGAAAGACACACAGGCTTTATTATCCAACTGCCACCACAGGGATCAAGCCAAAAATTACGCTAGGCTCCGTGGTCCTGCCGGAGCAGGTTGGCCTGCCTGGAGCAGGCCAGGCAACTTTCCTATAACGCCAGGTCAGTGGGAAAATACCTGATTACTCCAAGGGAGAGCTTCTCGTCTTTTTTTCCATCCCAGCAAACCTGAGGTTTATGACACATTCCATGAGCAACTGGCTTATTAAAGCAGCGATTTGTAATCCAGGGGCAAAGCGAGGAGAACAGCCTCCTTTGGAAGGCACTCTGAGTCAGTGTAGGTGGACAGCGTGGACCCCCTTTCCATACCTGACCTGATTCTGATCCACCCCACCCCCTGCTGAGACTCTCCACCTTGGAGTCCGCTCATCAGACGGCCCTCAAGGACTCCAGCCAAGAAAACAGTCCACAGGGAGAAGGCCAGGCTTCCCCTTGGGATTCCACATTTTAAATTTCACACAGCCGCCATTTTTCTTGGGACGAATTCTAAATTACTAATTTAGAAGTTAGTAATTTACAAATTCTATAGGTCTTCAGAGCTTATTTGCAAAAATAAATATATTCATTCAGTTCCTCACCTATGGGGCTGAGCGATGGACCCAACTGAAAGCTGAAGAATTTCCCTCAGGACTTGAAGTCACGGAGGGAGGCTTAGAAAGGAAAAATGAGGTGAAATGCACGTGAAGGACTCTGTAACTATCCTCATGTAGTTATTTCTTTCTTTAGCTGAAAACAGAGTGACTCAGAGTAGGTGTCCTTCCTAGGGCCTGAGTTGCAGAGTGACCAGTACAAAGCTGCCGTCCAGAGGAAGGGGCAACAGCTGTCCACACCCAGCCTGGCACAGGCAAGAGGTCATGAGGCTACAGTCCCAAGCTCTGATACAAGTAATTCCCCTGAATCCAATGACGTGTCAGAGGGGCCTCTTCTCAGACTGGGCCCTTGGGGCCTTGGCCTCCCCGTTTAGCTTTCTGTAGTGCCCTCCCCTCAGGAGTGGGCTGGCCAAGTGCCACCTTCTCTCCTATTCAGACTGTGGATAACCCATGAGGCCTTTACAGCCGTCTCCAGCTTTTCCGGCCAGCTCTCTACTGGCTCTTGTTCGCTGGGTCCTGGCTCTCCCTTAGCTCTCCCAATGATGCTGAAGAGGAGCCGACGCTAACGCCTGTGTTTCAAGTTCAGACCGGCAGGCCCTCGAGGCAATGCCACGGTGCACTGTCAACACTCTCGCAATCTCACACTTGCAGAGCCTCCCTCTTCTCAGGCTTGGCTGTCTCTCTGCTCCGAGCCCCTTGAGGAGCTGCTCCCAGACCTCAGACCTCTGCTGAACGCCTGCTCTGAACAGCTTTTGTCTTTCCTTCTCTTGCGCCTTGCGATCTTTGCCATTCTTGTTCTTAATACTTGCCAGATTTCTTCTTTTCTTATTTCTGCTCCTACTGATTTGGGTTCTGCCCTTGTCTGTGTGTCTATCAAATATGGGATCTTGGTCAATTATTCCTTGCCTAGCATGTGTAAAACCACATTTACACCATCTGATTATTTCACTCAGACCCTCACATATTTAAGATAAAAGTTTTTTTCCCCACAAAAATATCTGGAAATACACAGTCTCTCACCTATAAAGTTTGTGCCTGTGATAGGAACCAAGTGGAGTTAAGTGCACAGTAAGGACCAGAGATAAGAGATAAAAAGGCCCAGTTGCTGAGCCAGCCTTCACCACATGCATCATTGATGAAGAACCCTGAGCCCTGTTCCCTAGCTATGGAGCTTTAATATCTAAAAGGTGTGTGACACACAGATACACGCATGTAACACATACGATGCTCATGGTATATTGTACATATGGTAGCCATGGGACATGGCAGTTCAGGTGCCTGTCCAGACACATGCAGAGTGCTGTGCATCTCTGCCCTCAGGGAAGGACACTGAAGGACAGAGGCAGCACCACAGTGAGCAGGGGCATAGAATAATGTCCAATTAGGAAGAGAAGGTTAAGGGAGTCATCTTGCCTAAAGTATCAGTAACGCAAAATGCTTGGGACATTCTGCTTAATCAATTTTCTAATGAAATAGAAAATACTCCTGCATTATATCTTTGTTACATAAAATCCTTTAAAAATGCTTTATGCATTGTCTAATCTCACTGAGTCCAAAACTAGAATATGATTGGGCTATTCTTTTTTGTGTGTGTGAGGAAGACTGGCTCTGAGCTAACATCTGCGCCAATCTTCCTCTATTTCATGTGGGATGCTGCCACAGCATGGCTTGCTGAGTGGCGCTAGGTCCACATCAGGGATCTAAACCTGTGAACCCTGGGCCGCCGAAGCAGAGCGTGTGAACTTATAACAAATATATCTTGCATGTTGATAATGTGCCAGACACATTTTTGGGTGCTGGAGAAATATCAGTAAACAGAACAGATAGGATACCTGGTCTAGGACACTTCCACTCTAGTGAGGAAGACAGACCACGAAGGGGCAAGTAAAGAAGATCACCTCAGATTGTGGACCGAGCTGTCAAGGCAAGGTTCTCTGTGTGAGAGGGCTGGGTGGGGAGGGGAGAGGAGTGTTTGAAGGGTGGTCGGGGAAGACCGCTCAGAGGAGGGGACACACAAACTGAGACCTGAACAATGAGAAGGAGCCAGACAGGTGAAGACCGGGGGAAAATTTCAGGCAAAGGTAACAGCTAGTGCAAAACCCTGAGGAAGGAAGGAAAAGAAAGAAGGTTGTTCTGAGTACAACTTGGACTGAGTACAGAGAAGATGAAGCGTGAGATGAGGCCGGACGGGTGCTCAGGGTAACAAGTCTGGATTTGATTATATTATGTCATTGTATTTAATAGGATTTTACTTTCCTCTGATACAGCTGCATGAAGTTACCTCTCTTTGCATTTTTCTTGACATCTCTTTTATTACTATTGTGAACTAGTTTTTATATCTTTTGTTGCTTTTTAATATTTCATGTGTTTATGTTTTATCCTCTCAACTGCATATAATCTCCTAAAGGCTAAGAACTACTTTTTGGGTTTCTTTCTATTTCCTAGTAAAATTCTTTGCCTGGACACTCTAAACATATTGTCTGGCTTTGAACCATAACCTTTGGAAGAGCTGCACTTAGACTGGTTTGTGAATTCTATATAAAGAAGTAAACTTTCCAAGTCCTCTTGTACATTTCTGCTGTATTGGAAGGGTCTGGGAATTGGGTGGATTTGAACATTTAGATTTTTACTTGGAGATTCTTTTTTCCATAGCCTGATAAAGGTCCAGTGCTCTCTCTATGAATCTTATAATGATATTATTGGTGATAGAAAACATATTGTTGATAATTATGAAATAGCATGATTAGTGATACAAAAATAAAAGAATTCAAAACATTTCCTTAATGAATTAGTTTCTGTTAATGTTTCTAGAAGCATAGAAGTTTGCCCTATACTTCTCATTACAAATAAAATGAGTATCTTAAAATAATAGTCATAAATAAATACACCTAAATATGGCTAAGTGTGAAATAGAACCAACCTCCTAATACAGTAGCAACCGTGGCTATCAGCATGCTTTATGCAGCCTGGGATAGTGGCAGCCGGCCAGCATATTATCCTCTAATCCATTGCTAGTCTACCTCCTAAATGTTATAAATATTCATGTATGCCATAGAAAGCTACAAAGGGCTTTATTCAAACATTTTTTTGAATACTCCTTTATGTTTCCCCCAAATGAAAGAATGTCTGCTTTTCTTTTTTTTGCATATGGATCAGAGTGTGAATTCTCTTTTGTTCATACTCATAAATCCTGAAAACCAATATGCAACAAATTCTCTAATCCTCATTTCGTACCTCAAGGGTGAAGAGGTTCAAAATAAAAACACTTTGGGTTGGCATGGTAGTTTGCTGTGACTGTGCAATGCTGCCACCAAGAAAAGGCTTCTGTGTTCCTGGCTACCCTAGTGACTTCTGCCCCTGGCAGGGGCTCCCTTTCGGGATACAGCTTACCAGCCCCACAAAGGCTGCCAGCTCTGCTCACCACCTTGGCCTTGCTGATGAATGACTCAAAAGCGGCATGGACTTCAACCTGAAAAGGGAGACGCATCCTTCCCCACGACACATGGGACGAACGGCAGCCACTAGTGGGGTGGTGGTGTGGGGGCAGAGGGGAGCTAGTTTATGAAGAGAAAAGGTTGGAAAGTTGGCAACCAGTGCCGGGTTAGTCAAAGTCAGGTTTAAAAAAACATAATCAGATCTTTTTGAAATTCCATTTCATCTTCCAGGAACATCTAACTCATGGAAGGGCAACTGTAAAATTAAACTTTCCCATGGTATGATTTATCAAATTAAAGAAAATTTACAGTTGCCAGAGCAAAGAACTAACAGCACTCTTTCACTATCCTTTCTCTCCTCTTTCATAGTAATAGAATCCCCTAATTTATAGTGAGGCACGTAGATGCTCAAAATGAGGGCTACATATTCTAACTGTCCTTTCATGTGACTAAGTTTCTGGCTAATAAAATGTGTGCCAAGTGGTAAGAGTAACTCCAGGTCGTATCCTTGCAGGAAAGAAGCACGTCTTCACCTTTTCCCTTTAGGTCTAGCTGGAATGAGGTCATGGTGGTCTGCCATCTTGGACCATACAGACGGTGAAATCGCAAGAGAGAAGAAGCCTAAAACCTTGATCCCTTCCTGAAGCAAAACTACCAGACATGCTTGGACCTTTAAGTTAGAAAGAAAGAAACTTATCTTGCTTAAGCCATCAGTAATTTAGGTGTCCGTCATTGCAGCTGAATTGCCAACTTAGCTGTTCAGTTGTTTTTAAGAAAAGCGGACTTTTTCTGAGAGTAGGGTGTGAAGGACCTCTCTCCTCACTGCTGGGCAGATGAGAATCCACTGCTATGGGCATGCAGTGCAAAAACGGGGAAGGGGAGCTCTCTTAACACCCGCCGAATATGATCTTGACTTTTCCTTTGTAGGTTACGGATGTGACACCAAGATCAAAAGGCCCAGATGAGACAACTTTGGCCCTCCTCGACAGATATTTCTGCTGTTCTTGTTCGTTCTGTTTAGCTAACTTTAAAGATCAAAAGTTTTTAAGCTGTTTCAACTCTTCAGGAAACTCTGACTTCTATGCCTCTGTGCACATATATTTTACAGTCAGATGGTTGGCTTTGCCACCTCTCTGCATTTCTGCATAAGTGATCCGGAAGGTTCTTTACCTACTTGCTAAATCTTTCCTTTCTGGAAAACAAGCCTTTCTTTTGAGAAATCAGGGAAATATGTTTAATTCTCCAGACTAATAAGTGAGCAAAGAATGCTTTTCACTTTGATCAAAGAATTATTAAAATGACACAGTAACAGAGATGTTCATACCTGCCCTTGGTGTAGGCAGGGGGTGGAGAGGAAGACTGCTGAGAAAATATTTGCGCTCTTGTATAGAGTGTCTTTGAAGAGTGAGGACTCATGGGCTTTTCCTAAGAAGCTTAAGACACGGGAACCGAGTGCCCAGCAACTGCTGCACTTCTTTACCAGGCTGGGCTCTGCAATGAGCTCATTCCCAAAGCCGAATGGTGTGATCCTTCTAAGATTACTGCAGGATGTCTGACATTCTCCTGGACTCATACCTACTAGCTGGATTTCAAGAAGCAATTAGAAGAACAGTTTTCTGATAAGAATTCTATAGCACTCTATGGCTTACAGGAATACTTATATACTCTGGACCCTCCAACAAACTCCAGAGATGGATGGATGGAGCAGGTGTGATGCCAATTTTCTGTTGGGGACACTGACCCACAGAGAAGTTAAGGGACAGCTACAAAGTGATGAAGCTGAGAATGGAACCTGATGTCTCCTGAGCTTTTCCTGCAGCCTCCCATTCACCCCTGCAAACCACTACCCAGGGCAGATGCTCACCCACACAGAGATAACACTGTGACATCCATCCAGGATGCAGCCAGAGGATTTAGAAGACAATGGAGCATTCCATTAACATGAACTATGTAGCTAAAGAAAGGTTTTGGCAAGACCTGCCTTATTGCTTCACAGAACATAAGAAAATAAACTGCAAAGTACCTAATGCCAGATAACACAGCTTTTTTTGGGGAGGTGGGTGGCTGGAAAATACTGAATATGTACCAGTTCTGCATCTGTTATTTAAAAAAATTTAGTTTTTGGTTATGAAGATTTCCAAGTACCCTCTCTGAACTTGGGTGAACTTTATTGGGATAAGTAACACATCTTTCCATTAATACTACATAACAGAAATCTGCTATAAGCTACCTTTTACGTACATGCACTAAAGTCAGGCTCAGCAGATAAACATTTCAAAGGCATCCCGGGGCAGTCTAGCTCCATAAACCTTACAACAAAACAACAACATGGAAGTCACTCTGGAACATTCGTGCATTTTAGCAACAGGCAGCCAAGGACGAACCACACAGCATAAAAGCTAGCTGCTGCTGTGAGCCGCAGCACAAATACTATTCGATTTCACAAAAGAGAACTGACAGACTAAAATAGGTAGCCAATTTGAACCGAATATTTCAAAACTCCTTTATGCGTAACTACCTTTTTAGCATGGCAGCATATATGGAAATTATTTCCTTTATTAGTACAAATGCAAATTTCATTTAAAAAAAAACATTGTGGTTAAGGTTATAACACCGTACGTACCATTTTTTCAAAGTTTACTAGATTGTCAATGAATGTCTTGTTCCCCTCATGAGTAAATGTCATATCTGCAAAGAAATAAAAGTCACATTCCAATCACTAACAGAAATATGTCATACTAAGAAACCACAATAGCACCATCAGATTATGCTGGAGGATTTGCATAACACTGAAGTTGAAAAAAGCTGATAATAGTTCCTTTTATGTTAGGTGTTTAACTTTCTAAAGCACTTTACCTGAGATTAGTAAAATTTCCCAACTAACTGTCTGTTTCACCATCAAGTCTTCCAAATCCTGAATCCCTGCTCCTCCAATTCCCTCCCCACCCCTTTCAGAAAAGCCGGGGCTGAGAGGAGATGAAGAAGGTGGAAGGGTGAGCTCATTCTTCCCAGAGAGCTCAACCTGATGAGGCTCTTGTTCATTTTCTTCCCCACACACCTGTCCTGTGCATCTCCCTAGAATTACCTTTAATGAGCAAAGGCATGAAGGGGATGAGAGGGGGGTCCAGCTTAGCTATGGTCAGCCGGTAGGCCCTGTGGTTTCTCGAAGGATCCTTTAGAGAAACAGAGAGATGCTGGTTAACGACTAGTGACACATACTCCACCCCCTCTACCTCCCAACGCACCCAGCCTGGGCATGCCACAATCAGGCAGTTTTGAATCAAGTGTAGCCACAAAAGAAAGGTAGACGCGATTAAACAAATAGATTTTTGTTTCAAAACAACCTCCCGTATGACATGAAAATAATTTGCTTTTGTTTGCTTTCTCGTTTGAAAGGGATATCTGCCTACAGGGATCAAGGGTAGAGATTTCCTGTGGGAGCACGTAGGAGATGGGTAAAGCAAACTCCAACCACAAGATTCCCCTTCTCCCGAAGCTCAGTTTCCTTCCTGGGAGCTCAGATCACCCTCCTCTCTGCCTTGCACAGCCAGACCCGACTTGCCCTCTCTGAACCCATCCCATCCCTCCTGCCAAGTTCCACTCACCCCTTTTCTGTCTGTTAACACCTCCCAGCCAATGGGGAAAAATAATTTTGGCAAGCCAAGGAAAATGCAGCTTCTAACCCATAGCCAACCTGTGCTAGACAGAAAGGATCCTATTATATTGCTTTTCTTAGTTACACAAATTGACCTTATGTGGGACATAAGTCCTCTTTAAGTTAGTTCCTGAGGGTGCCATTCATTAGGCAGACATGCTTGTTTTAGCAGCACTAAAACGGGATCATAAACTTCTTAAAGTCATACAAGGACAGATAAAATTTCTGAAATGAGAACTTCAATTCAGCTAATCAGAAATTGGATTAATGCAGACAGTGAACAGAATAAAGGAGCCACTGTCACTTACCATTAAGCTTTCAAACTCCGCATAGAACTTCTTGAACTTGCTTGGCAGTTTCTGTTAATGAAATGAAAATGCCACCCTCATATGTCAGAGTCAATATCTGGATTTGTATCATGTGTGACCATTTCTAGGGGAAATGTATTGCTTTTGGCTCTTAATCAAACATCTCTAAGACAGGCCAGACTGTAATCCATCTTGTCATTTGAGGATAATCTTCTGGAATATAGAGAACTCGCCTTTTAAGAGGCAGAACCTAGTTGAACCAAAAGTAACTATGGATGCTTTGGTCTTACTGCTTTTATACTGTTCTCTGAAACGGATTATTCATAAAGAAGATTGCATTCACAGATGACAAGTGGTTTGGAAATACGCCACCCCCCCAACCCCCTTTTTAAACTCTCTGATATTCAGAATTAGGAATTTAGACCAGAGGATGTTAGGATCACAAGTTTTGGAAACTATCTATTTCGACCTCCTTCTCCCTTACAATGTAAGCTATATGAGCACAGGGATTTTTATCAGTTTTGTTTATTGCTATATCCTCAGTGCCTAAAAGAGTGTCAGGTACATAGTAAGTGCTCAGTGAATATTAGTTTGAATAGATTAAACCTATGTTTTATAGATGGAAGAAATTAAGCCTCACAGTTTAAACTGACATGCCCAAAGTCACACAGCCGATGATGGTCAGGGCGTCTGTAATTCACATCACCTGCCTCTTACATGCTCCACACTTTTCTACACAAACATTTCTCCCTCATGATTTTCCTGCCCTGCTATAATACAAAAATTGATAGTTCTATCAATTTAGTAACTTCTCATGTTTATATTTTGGCACACGCTTCAACACCATTGACTATTCCTATATATCTACACCAGTAGGTTAACACTGAATCATCTTTCAATCTGTTGGTTCTCACTTTGCTCAGATCCTGAGCTTTTAGTAAAGCTCAACATTTCTCTTCTGACAGGGCCACACCAAGATGGAGCAGCATGACGTGCTTCTCATCCTGAGACTGTGGAAGTGGTGACCAAGTCCCGGGCCTCGGAGATCCCCAGCTCAGCTCTGCTTCGCACAGTGAAGTCTACTGTCAACAACCACTTCACCGGTCAGGCCTCTGCAATGGCTGAAAAGGTCCTCTCTCCTCCTTCTCTCTCATATCCGAATCAGTTTGTCATATTCCCATTTAAACATTGTAAAAATCTTATTTTGTTTCTAGGAACTAGTCTCCTCCGTATCCTCCAGGCTCATTTTCCTAGCACCTCTCTTCAAGTCAGGTTTCAGGGCAACCTGATATCCTTGCTCAGAGGGAACGTCCAAAGAGATGAAAGCTGGGATGGGCATCAAGGGATGCAAGGCTCTCACCCCACACGAGGATCCAAACCACCATGTCAGGCGATAACTTCCCATGAACACAGACTGCCTTTAAAATTAGGACTGAATTACATTTTTGGTTAGATCTCTGTCACTCTAGTTCTCTTTCTTAGCTAGCTTTTGGCAAACGCAGGAGAGCAAATGGTAATAAAAACTTTTGTTGGTCTTAATACTATCCTCCATCCGTACCCTATGCTTCCAGAGCAGTGGTTCTCAACTAGCGACAATTTTGCACTGCCCTCCCAGGGGACATTTGATAATGTCTGTAGGCATCTGCTGTCCTCACAGCTGGGGTGGGGTGAGGTGACAGGTGCTACTGGCATATAGTAGGTAGAGGACAGGGATGCTGCTAAGTATCCTACATCACAGGGGACAGCCCTCCACAACAAAGAATTATCCTGCCCAAAATGTCAATACTGCCAAGGCCAAGAAACTCCACTCTAGGTTATTCCTCCCATTTGCTTTATCTCAGACTGGCCTTTCCCCTCTATTTTGAACTATTCCCTTTGCCATGTGGCTTAACTACTTTCTGCTTTGATCATGGGCAGTTTCACATGTGTTCCATAGCTCTGGGAGGTCAGGCACTGTTTCTCACGCTGCTCATGCCGCCATCATGGTACTCACTGGAGTTGTATGAGAAGCCCTTGGGAGGTTCTTGGCAAGTACAGGTAGATAAACCAAAATCAAAGATGCTTATGAATAAAAGCTCTTCCTACAGAATGATATAATTACATTTCATCTTAAAAAATAAAGGCTGGCAAATGATGAAAGGTTAATTTTCTCTTTTCAGCAACATGCAAGGATGAAAACAGAAGCTCACACACTGGGGTTCTCCTTCCTGTTCCCTGTGAAACTGAAGGACTGGTCAATTAGCTCTCTCCCTTTGCTAACTGTACCCTCCCCCCCTTCCCAAGCAGCCTCCTGTTTTTCTCTTTAGACCAGGAAAGGGGACTCTGATAGTGTTTCCCTCATGCTATGGCCTTAATATCTGCCTGCTGTTATGCGGTACCTACTCCTGGCCTTCCTGGACCCCTGTGAAGCTTTCCTTTGATTTCCCCAACCAACTCATTTGGACTCCATGAGGGGATTAGAAGTGGGAAGCAGGCTGAGAAAGCAGACTACCTGAGAGGAAACCCTAGGTCTCCAGAGATTCCAAGAGCCTTAGGCTACAAGACAGGGGGGCCTGCACTATGGTTTCACTGCTTAGATTCATTGGCAGCACTAACTCCGTCCTTTTACTAGCTGGAAGATGATACAGCTGCCTCGCACGCAAGCCTCACCAATTCCCTCATTCCTATATTCAGAGGATGAGCTGCTGTGTGCTCCATGTGCCTGGAATTTTAAGAGAAATCCAAGACTGAAGGACTTGTGAGGACCTGCCCCATAAACAATGGAAACATTTAGGAGGGACAGAGAAAGGAAACGGTTTCAGCAGAGGGGTGGAGAAGGAAATGTTTCAAGGAGAACATTCAGAGATGCAAACAGCTGCCTTTCAGCACCAGTGCAAATTAAATCTCTGTTATCTACTCCTTGCCCTCTTTTTGTTCCACTTACACATACTTTTTATTTTTAGTAAGAGTCTATTTTTGTGTGTATGTTCTATCAGAGTTTAGTATTTCTTTGACTATATACCACATATAAGGGATCAGGCACATTTAGAGTACTTAGCTAATGAAAAATGAAGATGTTCTCTAGCACGAATAACCAACCATCAACCAAACATGAATCATATTTGCTCTAGAAATTCACAACACACCTGCATAAATTTTGCCCCAAACTGACTATTAGCCAACTGTCGTTCCTCCATACACAGAGAGGACTGCCAGGCAGTTAAGAGATACTTAGTACTCAGCTGGGCCAAACAGTTGGCCTTCTGGCTAATTCTCCCAGGAGCAAAATGACTACTTAGATAAAAATGGATCCTCTGTCCTTTCTTAATTATAAATAAGGCTTATTGCAAAAGTAGTACGCAGACGTTCCAGAGAACAATAGAATCTATGAGCAAAACCTTTGAAGTCACCCAAACAATGTTGTTGATTCATGTTATACATAGGAACTAAACTTATTAGTATTTACATTGTATAGACCAAGAAGCTGAGAGTTCCTCATTCCCCCATACACAAAAGAACAACACCTTTCTAAAATCACCCTCTAAGGCAACTAGAAAAAGGAGACAGGTCACTTTCCTCAAAGTGTCCCACCTTTTCTATTATTATACGAGCGTGAGTGATATTTCTGTACAAAAAGCTCACTGGTGAGCCTGTGTTTTTATTCTTAAGGCAAAAGTCACAGCTGGATCTCAGCTGAAGCTTACCTCCCACGTTAGTGCCAAACGGCTCACGGCAACATTACTTAGTCCCATGACGATGGCAAAAAAGGAATTCAGATTTTTGTACTCCTTACAGCTGAAACACAAGAGGCACATGTGTGGGTAAAATACCACTTTTGAGTGAGATAAAAAAATTAGAGTTCTATTTTCTGGTAGTCGTTAATATTCGTCAGGTCTCCTTTACGAGAACAGGCAAGCATAGATTTAATGCACTGTGTAAGTTCCACTTGGGTGACCACGTTCTGCTGTTTGATTTCTCACTGTAATTTCAGACAGGTGATGGTTTTGGCCATCTAAGTTCAGGTTTTGAGAAGGAATTTAAAGACACCTACCCTAGGGATTGCTATTATCATCCCAAAGCTTGCTAAAAGCCTTGTCGAACCTGGAGGGAGACATCTCATGGGAGAGGAAGAGAAAAAGCAAAACGTCCTTGAAGACTTCCAGACTTTTGGCTGGAACCGGACCCCTCCTCGGGCAGCTTGAGAGGAAACTGAAGAAATCATACTGCTGCAGCCACCATGGCTTCTAATTTGTTGAAATATTATCAATTTACAAGTCACGATCCCTGTGCGCTCAGAGTTTTCAAACTGAGAAAAGATGAACAACTAACTAAAAAATACCCTTATTTTCTCTGTTTTACTGGTGTTGGTGAAGCTGATCATTTTGAATCTGTACTTATGTCACTATTAGCTTTTACGAATATACATTTAGGAATAGAACCAAAGATTCTTATTAGAATGGCACTATTTAGCCCAGGTACTTGGTTTAATTTAAACAAAGAGAGAGCAGAAAGGAATCCCCAACTTCTTCATACCAGCTCCTTGAAAAGGGAAAGAAGAATTCATGTTGTACTAAATGCAAATCCTTCACCCCAAATCAATATGGTCATCTAAGTTGACGACATCATAATTAAATCCTGTTTGGATTAATATTTTTGTAAAAGGCTAGTTAAATTGTGGCATTTCCTGCCCATATTCTCCTAGCAGAGGCAGCATTGAGTGATTCTTAAATCGTCTGTATGGAAATGGGAAAAGAGATTTCAGAGAAGCTGCAGCGTGTCTCATCCCACTGGAGAGAAAGCAAGTCCTTTGCTGTGCTGGGGCAGCGGCTCTCAGGTCAGGGGCTGAAAGCCACTTCAGAGACCCCGGGGGCTGAAGGCCGAGAGTCTAACTATGGACACATGTGCACCTTTGTCCCGTCTACGTGATCTTGAAAGGACATGCAGGACTGCCGACCTGCCTTTCTGGTCACTGCTGACAACTAACTTTATCACCCTAGGTAAGTCATGAAATTTCTCTGTGCCTCAGTCTCCGCATCTGTAAAAGGGGAGGATAACACATGGACCCCCAACTCCACAAAGCTCTGGGCAGATCAAAGACCTTAAACAGAATATGTTGAAGTTCTCTAAAAATATCCCACAAAACATGCTCCTGCCACGAGCTTTAGGTCTCATTCTGGTCGATCTTGGTTTATGAAAGTCTACCGTCTCCTCCAGCTGGGATCTGTAAAGAGCTCCACTCCAGGATGGCACAGCTTAATAATGGTCGAATAATACAAACCAATTTATACTGAAGGCCAAATCCACCTACTCATTCCCCTAATCAGAAAGAAGAGAGACAAGAAAGGCAAAAACATTTTAAAAAGTTCCTGAGGTTTTGAAACGCTCTCTATCTTCTCTCTGTAAAATAACAGGATTAGGCCCCAAAAGGCTTCCTCATCTCCACATCTGTGTGCAGATCCCCTCTCTCTTCTCCTGGCTGCACTTAGCATGGCCAGACTAATGTGAAGAGAGAAGCTGCTCCTTATAGCGGTAAAGCACATATTGTCGCAGTTTCCGTAATCACCCCCTTTCAGATATGTGAAGGCATCAGTCCCTTGCAACCAGGCTCTCCAGGCTGCTAGGGCTCTATGCTGATTGAGAAATTCATAGCAACTTTTTACCAAATCTTTCTTCAAAAAGGCAGCTTTCTCCAATTGAGAGATACCAGCATTTGAATCCAAGGGGTTGGGATACCCTGTTGAACTCTCAAACTTTTGGCAAAATAATTCGAGGCATTTGGCAAGCTGATGTGTATGAAATGTCCAGAAGCATTTACTTCTTTGTTTAGCTCTGGAAATCAGACTCTGCATGGGACCTAAACTATTTGGTTCAAGAAAATTGCCTAGCTGGGGTCACTTGTGTCCGCCACGTTCCGGGGCTGAAGCTCCCTGCATTTACAAAGGAAAGAAATCTCCCAGCCACAAGCTACATTTAGCATTTTATTTTTAGCATTGTGGTGATACCAAAAACATGGAAGTAAACAGGAGGTTGTCAGGCATATCTAAATAGCAGGAGAAGATTAAATTCATGTCAGGGAGAGATCTAAGTGGCCCCTGCAGCAAATAAATTGTTTCCCATGAAGTACTGTTCAATAGAATATTTATAAGACGCTTGCTTCTTCTGATGTTTATGGAGATGATTTTCATGTAGCAGGTTCGCTCGCCTTTATGCATTTCACCGATTTTATTCTGGCTGAGTTCGAAGCGCGGCTGCACATGCATGTTCCCACTGCCCTCTACTGGCAAGAACGTGTCATGTTGTGTATCAATTTGAGCCTTTTAAACAAAACTTTCTACAACAGAACTTTGCTGAAGGACTCTAAACTGAGGGAGGCACAAAGTCTGAACAGTTCAGAGCAAAAAGAGGCCACGACTTTGACTCCAGCATCAGTGCCGTAAGATGTTAATTTATATATTGATGTCAAATATTACAAAAGCCAGAGAAATTCGTCTTTTACAAGAATTCACTTATTCTCAAGCCCCTGTGGTTGGTCCTTGTGCATAAAGGGATCTTATATCTTGCTTTTCTTTTTAAAGTGCAGTCTAAGAGAACAAAACAAAAACGCACCTCAAACATTTTTCTCTTTCCAAGCTAACGATACTTACTGGGCTGCGATCTTAATAAATTTTTTTAAGAGCTGAACACGCTTGCTGGGCTGGGGACAAAGGCAAATCTCGGTGACAACCCAAAACTGAATTTCATTAAATCTTCTCAGGAACAAATCCAAGTTTGCTGTGGTCTTTTTAAAATTATGCCTTCCAAATGTGTGATAGATTAGCTCCAGCTAGGGAACAAAAGGAAAATGATGTCACTCCTTTGTTTTTTTTTTTTTTTGAGGAAGATTAGCCCTGAGCTGACTGCTGCCAGTCCTCCTCTCTTTGCTGAGGAAGATCGGCCCTGAGCCAACATCTGTGCCCATCCTCCTCCACCCGACCTGTGGGACACCCACCACAGCATGGTGTGCCAAGTGGTGCCATGTCCGCACCCGGGATCCGAACTGGTGAAGCCCGGGCCGCCAAGAAGTGGAATGTGCACACTTAACTGCTGCGCCACCAGGCTGGCCCCTCTCCTTTGTTTTTAAATCAAAACATCAGTGGGGCTTCTCTATTCGTCAAGACAAATTGACATTGGTCAGCAAATGTGACTACGATCTCTGACTGGAATAGAACTTGTACTTGAGATCTGAAAGGCTTCAATGAGGCTTGTTAAACATATAAACCCCGGTGCTGTTGGCTTAACAGACTCAGGAAGACAGAGCTTACTGTAAATCATAAAAATTTTTCTTTCACACTCAAAGGCTTTATAGCAGGCTTTATTAATAAAAATATTTTAAAAATCGTCATGTGGTTTCCATACGGCAGTGCGTATAAACATTTGCAGTTGAGCAATGCCAGCAGACTTCATCTCGAATTGCTCTGGTACCTACTAACGCTCCCAATCGAGCGCCTTACCTCATGCACACAGTTGAAGAGTTCCCAATCATAAATTGTCATCTGGTATGCTAAATCTTTGGAGCTCATCAGTTCAAAAGTTCCCACTGTTCCAACAGTTGGGCCTTCCTGTTCTGGCAGGGGAGTCTATGAATAATAATGCAAAAATATATCAAAACCTCAAAATAGTCAAGGACTTAGTGCTGAATGCCTTAAGGAGTTTCAGAGGGGAAAGGATTCTGGAAACGCTTTCAGGAAGATCTCAAAACTTTGATTTTGCCCAGAGGATAAAAATGCCTTTGCTCTTAATGCTCACTTGCTTCCATGCCATTTTTATAGTCATCATCGTCCCTAGAATCAATTCCACTCACTGAAAAATGTGGACCCTGGCAAAGAAGATTCAGGGAGGAGTGATCTGTGCAGATTTTCTTCGGCTGGAGCTGAGAGTTCCCTGGAAATGATTCCTTTTCCCTGGTAAAGATGTCAGAAGTTCTTAGAGATTTTTCTCTCCTATTTCCCAGTGAAGCTGTCCCAAAGCAGGTACTGGCATGGCGGTTTTGGACACTCAGCCCCAGCGCTGCTACCTATTGCAGGGGCTGGTGACTGTGGAAGGTTGCTGCATCGCCATCTCTTATCCCACACTGCCAGGGGTTACCAGGTGACAGTGGGCTCTGTGTACTGAGATTCCTCCACCCACTGGGAGAAGCTGGATTAGGCATGATATTCACATGCTTATGGTGTCTGGGGCCAGGTATCAGAAAACCAAACTCTGCTACTCTCCAGAAGACCCCGGGTCAAAACATTCCATCCACCTTACTAGTCGCATTTTTATTTTGAGAAATGATTTACAGCGCTTTTCCTTAGTGAGATGAATGATTTGCGTACATTGGAAACTTATATATAATATATTAATACCTACTGATCTAAAATATAACTGCAAAGTTACAGAAGTCACATGAATTGAAAGAGAATCTCCCTAATATCATGCTAACCATATCTGGATATTCAATATTTAGGCTGGAGGTAGTAATAATGTGCAAATTCCATCATCATCATTATTATCATCATTGCCCATAACCATTACATTCTACAAATGGCCACTGCACTCTGGACACTAAAGAAATTACACACTCAGCATGTGGGTGGTTCCTGCGTTTAAAAGCATGCAGACTAAGAGAGGAGTCTCCCCTGACCAGTAAGTACCGCACTGCATATCAATAAACAGTCAGCTGCTAGCATTCATTTGCACGTGTAAAGGGACAGACCAACACACACCTGGCTCCCAGATACACAGATAAACAGGTGAGGGAAGATGAACGGGCTTTCTGAGAGTTAGTGGGCATTTGGAATGAATGTGTGGCCTGAAGAGGTTCTCGGAGAAAGAAGCTGGACTTTGAAAGAGAAGCAGACGAACTCAGGTGAGTTAGAACAGCGAGGTGTTCCCTGAGCTTCCAGGATGGTCTGTTGCAGGTTGGAGGATGGCAAGGGAGGCGTTGACGGTGGGGAAGCTGTCATGAGACTCGTTTGGCAGGAACAGAGAGCTCAGGGACCAGACGGACAGCTCGAACAGCTTTTAGAAAACCTTTGAGTACCAGATGAGGAGATTAGGTTTTGCAATAGACCAGGTTAGTGCCAGCTTTAGGGAGCAACAGACTCTAAATGTAAACCTCACTCTAACTACACAGGACTGATTCCCTAATGGCTCGAATGTTTCTAGCTCTGGGAAGTTGGGGTCACAGTACCTAGTACCGAGGCTTGTTAAGAGGACTAGATGGGAATAATTTAAGTGCAGCAGGTAAGCACAGTGCCTGGCACAGAGAGGGTCCCTATCCTTCCCTCCCCCTCAAATTAGTTCCTTCCTAGATGCGCTCCAGCAATGCAAAGGCATAGGAACGTGTGATCAGCACAACACCTGGATGTAAGAGCTAAAGACTGTTGTTCCTGATTCACTCCCTGCAGGGGACAGAGAGCAAGGAGGGAAAACAATTGCTCCAAAGTTTTGAAACTTAGGGAACAGACCTGAAGCTGATGGGCAAAGTAGCTAATGGAAGCAAATAAGGAGAATGGTCTCAAGCAGGGTAGGTCATAGGTAGAAAATTGGGGGAAGCTTTTAAATGCGAGGTCTGAGGATGCCCTCTCAGGCTGTGACTGGCTCTCCACATTCTCCCTTCCCTCTTGCAACTGCTATTGTGAACACAGCCCCTCTGCTCCTCTGTGGAACTGCCTCTCCGACTCTGTTCATTAGGTTGGCTCTCTCCCCAGTCAACCTAGCTCCCTACCTGTTTTCCTTGAAGCCTTAATGGCTTTTCATACAGGGGATAAATTTACCCAACTACCACAGGGAAGATGCCAATATCAAGAAATACATAAAATTCTTTCAGTTGTGGATGCTGGTCTATCATTCCTGCATCCCTTTTGAGAGAATAACAGAAAGTCCTGTTTTATTCGAGGTGAGGGGGCTCACCAAGCCTCCTCCCTCCTTTGCAAAGGGCAGGCTGACCCTTTCCCTCCATGAACCACACTGAAGAGGCATCTGAGCAGCAAAGAGTGTCCCTGTATCTCACGTGGGGAATTTACATGCTGACCCTGGGCCCCTAGGAAACATCTCCTTGGGCCATTTTCTCATAGAAATCCCTGTGGAAATTTCCTGCAGGTGAGGCGCCACAGAGCTTATGTAGGGTCTGCCTTAAACAGACATCTGAAAACTGCCTACGTGGAGGCACAGAACTCCCACAGACTCTCCTTCTCTGCTCTTGGTGAGAACTAATTTCTTTGTTGAGGCTGGATGGTGGTGACTGGGAGAATAGTGTTGTTACCGTCCCATTTTCCAGATGAGGAAGCTGAGCCATAAGAAAGGATGTGCTGATTATCAGTGACAAAGAGATGGCTAAAGTGAGCTGCCACCCTAGCTCATGCTTGCACTCCCTCTGTGCCTGGCTCCACAATGGCACTTGTCATATTAGATTCTTGTTACACTCTGTGTCCCTCAATACACTGTGAGCTCCTTGAGGCACCATGATGGATTCGTCTTCAAGCCCAACCCAGAGCCAGAACCATCCACAATGCCTGGAATGATGGAGTAGGCACTAAATAAAAGTCTAAGGAATCCGTGACTGGATAAAAGTAGAACCAAATTGCAGTACAATGAGATTTTATTGTAATTGGCTCTGTACTAATATTTATGCTTCAACAAAATGTCTGGAGAGTAAAGCTCCAGAATCCAAACCCTCAAGCAACTGGAATACATCACTGCACTCTACTAACTCTAGACAACACAACTTAGCACCACAATTTGTTCTGTTCCAGGCTGTTTGCGTTCATCTCATCTCCCTATCTTGACCATGACTGTGGTAAGGACAGAGGCTCCAGGACATTGGTCTAGTGTCACACAGAAGCTAGCACAGCACACAGCATAAAGCAGATGCTTCAGAAGTATGTGTTGATGAATAAAGGGTTTGGCCAACATTTTGTACTGCAGTCATCCTGTGTGTGATTTTTCCTAGAAGGACTGCCCTCAGAGAAATCTTGAGAGAGATAGGAAAGGAGCTCTGTGTCCACCGTTTTGTGACACAGGTAAGGTTTGAACGCTCCTTAGGATGACGACATAATTCGCAGCCTACTGAACAGCAGAGCACCCACAGGGAAGAAGTTAAACAAGTTCAAGTCCAGGTACTGGCTGCAAAGTGAATTCCTTTCAATCACTCAGGCCTTAAAATGGAAGCCTAGCCAGGACCAAGAACTTGCAGGCTGCAGGATGATGTGCACATAAACAGAGGCTGACAAAGTTAGTATCTGCCCCCCAGGGAGCTGGAGTCGGTCCACACTTTCCATCCACGCACCACGGTGTTGCACACTGGGGCCAAGAACTAGCTGGCAAGAGAGGCGTGAGCACGCCTGGCAGAAACATCACGTAGCACCTTCAACGGGGCTATGGCTAAACCAGCTTTTGATGGCTCTCATTTCCAGGAGAGGGCAGCAGAACTCACTTACGACATTTTCCCTCCAATCCTTCAATCTTGAGAAATATTTTTTAAAAAGCAATGAATGTAGTTGACTAAAAAAATATATGAAAAGGACTATGAGTAGACTCAGATCTTATAGCACCAGTGGGTGAGGCAAGGCCAGGGTGCTCATGGCCACGAGGGAGGAGGCATTGGTAAGAGAACAAATGCCACATTTGCCAAGTTCTTCTCCAGGTAAATTCAAGATATTGCAAAAATCCACTTAACTGTGCTAGAGTGCACAAAAATGCAAAAAGAGGGTTCTCCTCAAATCAGAAAATCAGAATTACCATGAGGCTAAAACGAGCTCTAAAAAGTCCAAGGAGGGGAATCTTGGTTTATCTATAGACTCTGATTTCATTAAAGGTGAACATATTCACGTATTAGCCATGCAGGTAAACGATCTCCCACGATACACCTTACCTCTAGCTCCTGTGTTGCATATCTCTCTCCCTGTTTTAAAGATTTTATTTTTTCTTTTTCTCCCTAAAGCCCCTGGTACATAGTTTTATATTTTAGTTGTGGGTCCTTCTAGTTGTGGCATGTGGGACACCGCCTCAACGAGGCCTGACGAGCGGTGCTATGTCCACGCCCAGGATCCGAACCAGCGAAACCCTGGGCCGCCAAAGCGGAGCGCGCAAACTTAACCACTTGGTCACCGGGCGGGCCCCTGCATGTTTCTTAATAAAGAAGCCCTGTGTGTCCAAAGATGGAAAAAACTAGTTCTTTATCCTCTGAGCTGGCCCAACAGGCTTTTAAAGATTCTTTAATAGCTACTCACCTCTCTGCCTAATTTTTTTTTTTTTTTTGGCAAGGCAGCAGCCCTACTCTCTGCTCCAGGAGATTATGGGTGGAGCCAGTGAATGGTTCAGGCAGAATGGTCAGCCCACTGAGCCCCAAGGCAGACATTTCACCTGGCATGGGTTCCCCCATGGCCTGGACCTGATGGGCTCTGTATGCAGGTGGGCTGAGCTGGTGCGAAGTTGCAATGCCCTCTTTACACCTTGGAACCACAGGGCCGAGCCCACAGTGCCCCCTTCCTGCCTCCACAGCTCTGTCTTGCTCAAGCCCTTAGCCCAGTATCCTGAGGACAGTGGTGAGTTGAGGGCCTGAACCGGGTCAGGGCTCTGGCAAGTGGAATAGGAAGCCCAGTAGGTACAGGTGGGAGGAGCTGCCTTTTTTTTTTTAAGTTAATTTTTATTGAGTTTATGATAGTTTACAATCCTGTGAAATTTCATTTGTACATTATTGTTTGTCAGTCGTGTTGTAGGTGCACCCCTTCACTTTGTGCCTACCCCCACCCCCCCCTTTCCCCTGGTAGCCACTAATCTGTTCTCCTTGTCCACATGTTTAAATTCCTCATATGAGTGGAGTCATACAGAGATTGTCTTTCTCTATCTGGTTTATTTCGCTTAACATAATTCCCTCAAAGTCCATCCATGTTGTTGTGAATGTGTGCCTAATTTTTATAGGATAAATAGAAGTGAACCCTACCACTTGCATAAAAGAGAGTAGGCGATTCAATTACTAGCACGAGCCAATTAATTCTTTATCCACAGAGAGCTCTGTGTGGCTGGGAACAAGTGTTTCAGAGACTTAGAGAGGACTGCTGGCCTCTGGTGTTTCCTACACAAGACAGAGAGAACTTTCTGGGAAGAGCACTTTTCTTAGACCAGAGAGTAGCTTTGCCATAATGCATATCTACATCCCCGGAGTATGATAAATCATATCTTGTCTTAAAAAAATTATTTCCATCCTGGCCTAAGTATTCAGATTTTTAATATTAATATTTAAACTGGAGACATTTCAAGGAGAGGAATGACTACAAAGAGTTCTGAAAGCTGAATGATGTCCCAATAGTGGTGCTCCTTGGCTAATTTCCACCAAAGGAAATCTAAAGATCAGAGCATCTCAAATGAACACCTGAGGCTTACCTAATAGACCGCAGAAAAAGAAAAAGCCACGTAGCATTCAAGATTTTTTAGCAACTAGGTCCAACGTGACTGCAAAATTAAGCTGCAGACAAGTTTTTCTGATTGCAGACGCTGCGCCAAGGAGGCCATCCACACCTACCAGTGAGTCGAATTGCTCTCGCGGGCAAGCAAACAGGCGTCCATTAATGGTGAGCGTTGTAAATACTGAAACATCATTAGGTTTGAGCACCACCTTTTCTGTGAACATAAAAAGCATGAGATTGCCTATTAAATGCATCTGAGATTTGCAGCACTGCTCTAATCACACCAACAAATTGCCAGCTCAGTGATTTACCGGAACATGCAGAGCGACTGCATAAAATACAGTACTGAAGGGACCCGCTGGATAAAAAGGACGCAGCATTCACATAGCACACGACACTCAGGATGCCATCAGAAATGACCACAAACAGGAATGGAAATACCGGAGAGTCAATTCACCCAGTACTGTGCTCCAACCGTAATGATATACAAAAACCACACTTGCTATTTATGTAACAAGTTATGTTTCCAGATGGTAATAACGCCCAGCACTTTGGAGATGGAAAGACCACTTTTAGAAAACTTAGCTTCTGAGATCCCACATGCATTTAGATGCAAATTTATTATCATTTTTTCACATATTCCCTAATTCAGAGGACAACCGCATTACCCAGATTAAGCCTCTTTATTCCAAACTGAATTCATTCAATAAATATTTACTTAGCATTTACTACATGCTGGACGCTGCTCTAGCTAGGCATTGAGAATACAGAAGGGAACAATACAGAAAAAAATTCTGGTCCAAAAAGAGCTTACATCATAGTGAGGGATGCAGACAGTGAACAAGATAAATATATTAGAGAGTGAGCAGTGATGAGGAGAAGAAAATCGAGCGGGGAAGCAGGCCAGGAAGTATGTGTAAAGGGGAGAGGCTGTGATTTTAGAAAGGGAATCAAGGAAAGGACGGGGGCCCTCGGTGAGACACTGACATTTGAGTGAAGACCTGAAGGAAGTGAGGGAGGGACCCGGGAGAGTGAGGGGAAGACTGCATCAGAAGGCTCCGCGAGGGCAGACATCGTGGGTCTTGTGCAGCTGGCACAGAAATGGAAGGGGGGATCTCTGGAATCCAAGATGCACTTTAAAATCCTACATCGGTGGAATCATTTGCCTTTAAACATGGCAGAAATGGCTCACCTGATCCTGTCGGATCCCCCAATGGCTATCAAACCATTACTGGATAAATGAACCTTACTGCTCCTTTCTCCAGGCTCTCACAGCAACACTTGCTGACCATTCCTGGACTCTTGCCAGCACGGACTGTAGCTGTTTATTTACTGTCTACCTTCTCACCAGCAAACGTGGGGGCTGTGTCTAACTCATCCTTTCCTGTCATGGCCACACTAAGTGGCCAGTAAATGTGAATAAACGACATTTCAGGAAAGCACAGAGTAATCAGGCAATCCCATTGGGGAAAATACTCCTCCTTTCGTTCAGTGAGCTGGGTTCTGCCCTCTCTACTGGGTAAGGAGGGAAACCATCACCATCTAAAAAGAAGTAGCCTCTGACTGCCTGCAACTTCAGACTTTAGCTTGTTAACCTAGATGCCCTCTTAGGGTCTACATTTCTCAGAGCTCCAGGCTTTAACCTTTTTTGTTTAGAGTTTATATGGAAAGAACTCCAGGCTGACATCCACACCAGAGTCCTCAGTCCAGCTGGCTCAGATAGATCTCTTCACCTCTCCCTGCTTTAGAGTGGGTGCCTACAAGATAGGGGGTGTTAGATACTTATCCAGCCCACCTCTAACCGCATTATTTCTGTTATCTGTGGGAGCACCCACAGCACCGATTTGTCCCCTTGTATCAGCTTGGAAGGGCCATGCTACCCCCTGGCGGGGTTTCTGTTTGGATGGGATATTCTATTGGATGGGCTGTTACCTCCTCCGGAACTCATCTTGACTATGATCAGGCCTTCTCCGGAGCCCAGTTTGTCGGCAACTGCGCTGATGACTTCCTTCACTGAGGCGGCCACCGGCACCCGAATGGTTGTGTAGGTGTGGTCCATGCAATAGACCTTAAACAGAACTATTGGGAAGGCAGTAACAATGTGGTAAACTGGTCCCTGGAATTCTTAAGAAAACCATAAGCTATGCAAAATGTTTAGACATCCTTCAATACTTGCATCATCTTGCCATTCTTAGTATTGTATTTACTTGTACGCAAGTGTTTATGCTTATGCCTGCCCCCTCCCCAAACTCCTCACCTTAGCATTGGTCTAAGGTAAGGCTGCCATCCCCAATTAAAAACAACAACAGATATTTGCAAAAACCCAACAAAGATGGGAAAAATGAGAAATATGTTTAGGCCAATTTTCTGTGTCAGCCCTGGTCTGTGAGCTTTTCTTTTTCACAATACAGGAAGTGCTGTGCTGTAGGCTGATAACTAGATTGCTGGTGCCCAGTGTGGTGGGGGGAGCCAACATTAACACCTCTGCAAACAGGGGAGCTTCTGTCTGGGGCCGAGAACATATGCTGACATTCCTGCTCACTTGTTCACTGGTTTGTAGACTTTGGGGCTGGGCCACATGGCTTGGTTTGTATTTAGCCCAGCACATCCATATATGGCACCCACAGGCTGACCTCTGAACACACAAATCCTGGAAGCAATTCCAGCTACAGTAATTCTTGGGTTTAGAGGCATTCCTAAATTGCAAGATTCACTTGTGGCTTAAAATGAAAATTTTGTCATTGTTATTAATTTTACTTTGGTTTTTTGGAGAAATTTATCCAACCAAACAAGAATAGGCTGCATCTGCACCTCCCTGATGGCTGCTAACAGGGCTGTGCTCAGGGCCAGAGCACTCTCCCTGGGCAGGAGCCTGCTCTGCAGATGACCCTGGCACCCCACCTCTGCCAGGTATCTGCAAAGTGCCAGCCACCTTCCGCCAGCTCTTCCAAGAGGTGGGCAACCTTAACAACTGGTCCCTGAGGTCATCTTTCTTTCCTCCAAGGAAAGGTGGTAGTGAGGGAGAGGCAGAATCAGGGAAGTGTGGACAAGCACCTCAGCTCCAGGCACGGAGTTCAAGAACATAAATAACTGGAACACAAAAGGGCACTTCTAAGCAAACCATTTGGAGGGCAAAGGGGGCACCCCAGGAAAAGCTATTCTGTGGGTCCAAGGTGATGATTCCCAGAGGGGATATTTCATTCTGACTTTACATAACCTACACAGCCGTGAGCTGCAAGAGAATTCTCACCTTCATCAGAGCCACGGATAGGCTGGCGCTTCTGGGCTCTCTCATCGCCTGTGTTGAACTGTTGCAAAAGAACTTTGTGCTGTAAAAATAATACGACAGCAAATGCCATACGAGGAGAACGACTGAAGCACATTTGCAACTCAGAGGAAACAGATCTGAGAAGCAGCCAGAGTCAAGAAATGAAGATAACATATTTTGTATTTATAAAAACACCACTTTCATATAGTGCAACACCATATTTCTGGAGAACTGACATTCTACAGGGCACAACTAGACAATCCGAATCGGTGGCCACTTACCTTCTTTTGTGGAGCTTTTGCATCTTCTGAACTACGAGAAACAGAGAAAGCACATTATTTAATACCACTGGTACTACTATTTTAAATTGCTTCATTTGCATATAACTTTAATCTTATGTTAGAAAATGAAATCACAGCAGCCCTTCAGGAGGGAACATGAGCCTCCTTATGTCAATACTAAAAGACCAAAGCACAGAGGAGAGAGCAAAGAGATCAGCTCTTGTCACAGGCTGATTTCTTGCAGAACGATGTTAAAAGCCAGGGTTTCCCGTTTTCAAAGTATCTCGTAGCGCACACTCTCTCTAGTAGTTAATCTATGGCTCAAGGAACAGCATGCGAAAATCTATATTTTTACTGAGAGGACGCAAATATTCACTATCAACAGCTATGGCAGCAGAAAGCGAATTTTCCATCTAAGTAATTCCCCTCAAGCTGTCTTTAAATGCCACTGACCATTTTATTACTGGATTCACTCCTCGGAACCAAAGGGACCCAAGTTTCTTGGGTTAGATGCCCCAGAGGAGGATCTTTGCCTTTCCAGGCTTTCTCTCAGCAGCCCAGCACAGAAGGCAGCTGAGCAGAATCTCAGTCCTTTTGTTCATCTGGCCTTACTGCACCATCTACCCCTGAGGCCCACTCCGCCCAAATCAGAACACTGTGTGGCTTTCACCGTTTTGGGGGAAGGACTTTTCGGAAGATGTTGTGATTGAGAGGCAAGCGCTCACTTGATGAAAGCACACCCCAGAGCCAAGCCCCTCCTTACATTTGCTTGACGATCTTCTCCAGCTCGGGCAGTTGCTCCTTGAGGGCAGCAATCATCCGGGCATCATCTGACACAGACACATAAAACTCCTGTAATTGGCAAAGGTCACAGGCTTTTAACAAGAACCGCAAAAGGTACATAATTCTGTAAAGAGCAATAAAGACACACCCCTGTGTCATCTGCTCCATTAGTGTCTCCAGATCATGGTTTCATGGACTGGAGATAAAAAAGAAGAAGAAAATGTTACAATTTGTCTAAATTCAAAATTGCAAGTGAGACAAAGTTTTGGAAATAGATAGTGGTGACGGTTGCAAAATATTGTGAATGTAATTAATGCCACTGAATTGTAAAGTTAGACTGGTTAGAATGGCAAATTTCATGTTTAATATCTTTTACCACAATAAAAAAAATTTTAAATTAAAAAAATTGCAAATGAATTGTGTATATCATATTTATATGAAAGGCAATGTAATGCAATGTTTTGGAATGGGTCATTTTATAGTTTACCCTAAGAGCACTTTTCCACTTCAAAATTTTTTCAGGAAAACTCTAGTATTTATTTTGAATATTATTTTAGTATTTGTTATTTAATATTTACTATTAGTTGTGGTTACTTGGTGGTGGTAAAAATGCAGCCATGGTCTTCAGCACTGTACTGAATTTATGCTGAGCGGAGTTTGTGCCACCAGCTCAGGTCTCTTTACTGACGTCCTGGGAACTGTCCTGACTACAGAGCAGCAGCAGCTGTGCCCTGCTCTGTTCAGGAGCAGTGGCCTCCACAGAAGAACATGAGAGCTGTGGCAGTGCCAGCTGAATTGCCACTTTGGTTCATCTGCAAAATGGTTCTTTACTCAATGGGTAGAGGCCATGAGTCAATGTATGGCCCCAAGCTACTATTATGCCTTTATATTTTCAAAATACTTCATTCCACAGCCTTGGTGGACTCTCACAGTCCGTCCTTTCTCCCTGCCTCACCTCTCTCTGCCTGCCGAATGACACGTTCAAAAGAAGAGAGAGGGTATGTTTCTTTTGGATAATTCATTCTTGAACAGACAGACTGATAAAGTTTGAAATAGAAGCCACATTGCCTTTTGCCTGCACAGAAGCAAGGTCCTCATGTAAGTTTTGGAGGCTGGAGTGAGTCATCAAGGATTAAATGCCAGGGTCAAGGCTGCAATGTGGGGCTGGAGCCAGGGGAAGGAACAGGAAAGCTCAGCTTAAAGTAGTGTTGATGAAATAAATTACATCTCTTCAGAACTACCTCAATGTCCTAGTATAATTCTTCAATAAAATTATCTGCTTCACTTTGCTCAAAATCTACGATTTGATTTAGTAATCCCACTTGCAGGAATGTAACCAAGGACAGTCCTACTTGCACAAAAATACGTACTACGATATTATTCTAGGAAGGTGAAAGTGGTAATGGTGTAAATATTCAACAATGTAGGAAAAAATAAACATATCTGAGGCATAGCTACTCAAAGGTCATTAGAAATTTTTATTAGAAAGACTGTAATGACACAGAAAAATCCTCATATAAAGTTAAGTGGAAAAGCAGCCTCCACAGTGATGAGTACTCTGTGATTACAACTACAGAAACCAGACAAGGACAAAGAGATCAAATGAAAATACATTAAAATGCTAGCAGTTATTGAATTCAAGTGGCAGGGTAATGGATGATGTTTTTACTTCTTTACTTTTCTTAAAGTACTTTCTTGATGAATGGATATGTTAACGAAGTCTAGAATTTGCAATTACAGTCTCTCCAGGGAAGCTGCCTGGGCAGTCCCTGTATTGTGGAACAAAGATGTATTTATTCTTGGATGGGATGACTCCTGCTTACCTCCAGGAAAGCCATAGCTACGTCATCCTCTTGTAGGACGTCTCCATACATGGCGGCCCACTGTAAAACCAGCCGGATGACTCGTCTCTTATTGTTGAGGGCATAATCCATTTTCTCCTGTTCTGTACCTTGTGAGGGCTGTGCATGGTAAGTGCCAAGGAGTCAAGGAAGACATTTAGCCATTTCACACTCATTTCACTGTGTTAGTTGCAAGGCAGAGAGTGATGGATCTCAGCTTTAGAAAGCTAGCCTTTTGGACTGATAGAATTTCCCTTAGCCCTCAGGAAAAGCCCCACCCACAAAGGTTCTGGACCAAATGCATACAAACCCTTGTGAACACCTGCTGTGTTTGACCTGGGAGTTGCCTAAGGAGTTAGACTTGCAGGCTCCACTTGGACTTGTGTGTTCACCAGGATTCTTGTGCCCAGCTCCAGCTCTCCATCAGACTCTGCCTGATTAAGTTCTCTCTCCGATTACATTCCCTGCATACCCTCCACCTCTAGAGGTGGTAACGCTTCTTGCTGTTGCTTGCCTCTGCGTACCTTGCCACCTCTTTTTGGGTCCCATAATTCTGCACACATCTCTATAGTCCCCTTTATTATATACATTTCAGGTAAACCCTTCTGAGTGGGCATCTAGTCCTGTGTAACTGACTGATACAAAGAGCATATGGGAGGGAAGGGGGGCACAGAAGAAGATAAGCTCACCCAGAGTTAGGATGAGGAAAGGTTCCTGCTGTATCGATCTTCTGGTGAGGGACTCAAACACACTTTTTCTATCATTCCTTCTTCTCTTGTCTAAAACCACAACTTAATTCATTGGCTTTTTGTTTATTTACGGCTAGCCATCTTAACTAAACTATAAGCTCCTTGAGGCTTGGGATGATATATTATTGGTCTTCTATTCAGTACCATGCCTAGCACAGTGGCTTTCATCTAGAAATTTTATTTATCCATTAATACCACAAATACTTAATTGAGTGCCTACTACATGTGTCAGGTAAAGGTCCCTGCTCTCTGTTTTCATTGTCTTGTGGATTACAGTAGGGAGAATACAGTATGGGATCAGGAAAGACTGTAGATTAGACATACCAGTCCTTTGTCAGTAGTTTATAAGAGTTCATATGATAGTCAATTAGTTCATGGAATAATTTCCTCTGTATAACCTACACTGTAACTTGCACATAGAGTACTTCAGTTAAGCTGTCCTTTATAGTCTCGTGATGAAAAGATCATTCCCTTTCTACAAGAGAGCAAGTTGATAGTTTGTTGTTCTTAGTGCCGTCCAGTTGCTTCTGACTCCTAGCGACCCTGTGCACAGCAGGGCGGAACCCTGCCTGGTCATTTTGTGCCATCCTCTCGCCTTCTGGTGTTGTATCAGACAATGCTCCGCTGCTCTTCACAGAGCTTTCATGGCCAGTTTCTTCAGAAGTGGGTACCTAGGTCCTCCTTCCTAGTCTGTCTTAGTTTGGAAGGTCCATTGAAACCTGTCCACCATGGGTGACCCTGCTGGCATTTGAAACACCCATGGCATAGCTTTCAGCACCACAGCAACATGCAGCCACCACAGGATGACAACCAACAGAGGGGTGGTGTGGTTCCCCGGTGGGGAAATGAAACCAGGCTGCAGCGGTGAGAGCGCCGGATCTTAACCACTAGATCCCCAGGGCTGGCTAAACTGACAGTAAAGGAGCACAAAGGGCCAGGATTACACAGTGAGAGTGTAGAGTTGGTTTTTTGAATCCAAGACTCCTAATTTCAACAGGTTTGCTTCTTATAGATGGCTACAAGACCGGCTGTGCCTTATCTTACGACCATGACTTAAAAGCACTGTAGAAAACTGCCTGGTGGCCGTGCTGTGTTTGAGAGCTAAACCAGTAAAGGGTCTTTTCTAAAGGGACTATAAATAATCATGATCAAGGTAAATGACAGAACCTTAAAGCAAAGGTTTACTGCATGTAAATGGGTTGCAAAACGGCTTTCATAAATTGAGCACGGGATTCATAAAAAAGAAAATTGCTCAACCTGTATTGCTACAATTCTCTCTGAGCTTACAATAAAAAAAGGGAAGAAAGATCACTTTATGTGAAAATTATTTCTTTTTTGATTAACCCTTTGGTCTCTTGCTTGTATGTATGTATAACTCAGGTTTTCCTTCCAAAGAATTGCATGGCTGGGCTCTCTACATTGTATCACTACTTTTTATGGTACCTAGCAGCACAGTCAGGCACATGGTGGGTACCAAAAGAGTAATTCTTGACCAATTGAAAAATTTGTACTGGTTCACCCAAGGGAGGGGGAGAGAGACAGAGAGAGAAAGAGAGACAGAGAGAGGGAGGGAGGGAGAGATTCTTTCCCACTGGTATGAGGCTTGAATTATCAAGATGATATCAAATGGATATAATTCTAACTTTCCAGATTATTTTGACTTGGACTCAAGGAAGCAATGCAAATGCTTGTGTGTTGGGTACAGCAACATCAGCAGCACACCTGTGGCTAATCTATGAAGCCCCACGATAGGATAACTCAATCGACATTATCTCTGTGGGTTAAGACAAAGATTTTTCCTGTTCTCTTTCCTGCTGGGGAAATCTGTGTTTTGTGTACAATAAAAGATAGAACACACAATTGGAAGGCTTAACATGATGACACTTCAAATGTGTGGAGAGTTTTACCATTGATAAATATACTTAATGTCCTCACATGATCACATAATACTCCACAAACCTGGAAGGGAAATATTTACAGATGAGGAAACTGAGGGTCAAAGAGAAGCGATCTGCCCAAAGTTGTACAGTGAGTAAATGGCGGGGCTTACAAATCCAGACAGGGATTCTTGCCACCCCCACACTCTCAAACTGTGGCTATAGTGACTGGATATTAGTGCTTGAGTTCATGAAATTATTAAGAATAATTGCATCTGGAAAGGAAAATCCTAATGAGAAAGAGAGTCCTGGTTTTTTCTTTTTCTTTTTTTTTTTTTTGGCTAAAGTTCCAAGTTTCCTAGAGCTGACTCAGTGTGTTGAATACCTAAACGAGGGCTGAGCACCCTCAGCTCTACAAGAGTAACTCCACAGCTTCCTGGGAGCTAGCACTGATGGAATCCAGAGGGACTAGGAAGAAGCTTTCTCCCTGTTCTCACGAAAGTGAAGTATTTTTGCCTCTGGAAAAACAAAAGGAAGCACAGATTTGTTTTACAAAGTCTTGACTTTCCCCTTGAAGGTTTGTTTGCTTTTGTGTTCCTGACCAGTGTGTTGAATCAGATTCTTAAGGGACACAGAGAAGAATGTTATATGTAATTGATTGTACCTGAAATGGTTACAGGTGAGGTGCCAGGGCTTCAACTTATTGCCCTAACAATCTCCCCAGGGTTTTAGAAGACTCATGTGATTTTTTTGGATTTTATTTAACTCCTACAAAAAAGTTACGGAGAGGGAAAAACTATACTCCCTTCAGACAGTAGCCAAAGAATAAAGAGCATCCCACTGTGTTCCTTGTCTCAATAGGATGTCAAAAATGCAACCTACGAAAACCAGCATTTCAAATATAGTATGTTCATAAATTCAAACACCTTAGGAAGGTTGCAGAAACCATTACCTTCTCTGGTTAAAACGGAAATAATGTATTAACCATTTGATGGTGAAATTCCTATGTGGATTAAAAATGTAACTCTTCTCCAGGACAAATAACAATTTGGAAAGGATTATCAATGCGTACCACACACATCAGATACTTTTAACATCTGAAGAACACTCTCTGAGGTATATACTTGGCCAGTGTCTATGTTAACAGTACATCAGTAGAGGACATCAAACATATAGTAATTCAATAATTTTGTCAAATGATCAGGAAATACTTCTATTGAATAAGGCCACAACTCCTGACATCAGGACTGTCGGGTTCAGGTAAGAAGCAATATGGCTGTTTGAATTCACGGGGAAAAGAGACACAGAAAGATAACATGGTTCTGGTATTTCATGAAGTGCTAGTTAAAAGTCTGTAAGAGAATCGAGAGTTATTCACTGAGTTGTTACTTTAAACACACGTAAGAAGGCCATCATAGTCGAAGTGGCCAAACTCATCACTGACACATTGAGTTGATTTCAGATGACTCACAGAATCATAGAATCTGTGAATTGCAGAAGTCCTTTGATTCTATCTCAACTCCACCATTTTAGAGGTAAGGAAACTGAAGTAGAATGAGATAAATGATGTTTCCAAATTTATCAATGGAATTCTTGAGACTAGAACTCAGTTCTCATTTCCCCCAATACTCTGTTTACCTGTATGCTGCTGTGTTTTATCTGACACTAATATTCCTTTATGCTAACACATATTGCATAGCAGAGTTAGGTTGGATAACAGAAAAATCCATCTGAGATGTAGAAATTGATCCCCCTAAATTCTCAAAGACAAAGCACATACAGAAAATCAAGAGTTAGCTGTTGCAGCCTTGACAATCTGATAGTCACGAAGGCATAGAATTTCTAATGTCTGAATTAGATCCTCTCTGTTATAGTTTCAACCAGTTCTCTTTCCAACACCTGTCAATTTAGAAAGCAGTGGCTCACCATTACTAACCAAACATTCTTAAATCTACTGACTGTTCAAATCCTAACTGGAAGTTTCTCTTGTTATGGTAATAAAATTTGTCTTATTGCACTATCCAGGAGCATTAAATCAGAATCCTGAACAGCAGGAACCATGTCTTAAACTCATTGTGGATCTCCACATTTTCTATTCAAGGACATGGAAACAGAAAAAGCCTCAAATATTTGCTGACCACACTGTTTGGAGTGCTATATAATACAATTTTCTAAAAAAATAAAATAAAATAAAAAATATCACAGCTTTTTAAAACCCTTTATCTAAATTACCGAAAATTCCATTTTGTCGGGATGTCAAATACAGATCATAGATACATTCTAAATAAGTTCATATTCAATGTTACTGGCGTGACTAAGTCTACACAAATACCAAAACATCTGGGACATCTTTCAAACAGAATCTTTCAGTTATTGGGTATTTAATCTTTAGGACCACAGACTCTCAGAGTGACTAATCTCCATTGAATTGCATCAGCTCCTTTGGCGTCATATAGATGCAGCTGAGGACAGATGGATCTGTACTCAGTGAGCTATTAGGGCTGAGACTCCAAAGAGGTGAAGGCCACAGCGCAGGCTACAGTTATTCCTACCCTGCCAACAGCAAGCTTCATATTCCATTGAGTCATTTTCCTCACGCCGGCTCTGCCGTTCAAACACTGTAATTATTTCATATATTTTTACCTAGTTATTATCTTACTCACCACAGGCACCTGTAATTTTTCTGTATTTTTTTTACTGCTCATTTACTTATTCTTAATTCAGCTAATAATGGTTCCACGTATTAAAATTATCACGGGGAAAGTAAGTGAAAACCTCCTAGGATGTAGAGGCAGCAGCTTCATTACAGCCTACAACAGGGAATAAAATATTATGTATACTTTTTGCAGTAAGTACATGCTAATTATGCAGCTATTTATAAAACACTTATCAACATTCAAACTGATACTCTTCAATGTTGTTGTTTTTCAAAACCCTGCTTTGCATACAAGATCTCTGCTTGCAGCTGAAAACAAACTTTGGGGGTCATCTGCCCACGGACTAGACAAAGCTTTTGTATGCTCTTTATATTATGCCATATTCCTCTCATGATGGTACAATAACGTATTTATATGGGGCAATATTTATAAGGGGCTTTAAGGTTTATAATGTACTTTCACACACACAGCCCCATTTGATCTTCACAACAACCTGGCGAGGTGGCTAGGGCAGGTATAATTACCCCATTATACAGACGGGGTTCAGACAGGTTAAGGACAACTGCCAACTAATATAGCTTGTAAGACGCAGGTCTTAAACACAGGTCTTCTGACTTCAGAGCTCCTGTTTTTCCCACTATATTATGGGGCCTCTTTACTACTCTGCTTGCCTTTGTGGAGCATCCCAACATCCTGAGCACTGGGCTTATTCCTTCCTTGATGCAGCACATCCTTGGAATGCAGGTTCTGAAGTTGGACCACCTGGGTTCATATGCTGGCTTCCCCATTTATAAACTGTGAGACCCTTGGTCAGTTAGTTGACCATTTAGAACCTCAGTTTCTTCATCAGTCAACTTCACAGGATTGCTGTTAAGGATGAGATAAAACAATGTTGGGAAACCATGTAGAAAAGTCTCTGAGTTAGCTATCATCATTATTATGGCTCCACCTCTGGAAATCATTTAAAATCTTTTAAATGGTTGATTTTGGAATTTTTCATAAGACTTGGCATTTCTGGGTTTAACTCTGTGAGGCTATTCCCACCAGGGCAGCTGTTGCTGTGTTCGTGTGCACCTGTTAACTCTGAGCTCACAGGAGTGCTTGCTGTGCTGTTATTTTCTTTAGATGCCTCCCCTTTTCTTACTCAGAATATTTTTTTCTCACTGATTTTCAGAATTCTGTGCATTTTTAGAAGCTTATAGTTCCTGGCTATTCTTTTCAGTCTCAAGCCAGGGGCTTGTCCTTGTGGCAGAGCAGTAAGGACATGGCCTAATGCAAGACACTGCCTGGGTTTAAATCTTGTTCAAACACTTACTAGCTATGTCACCTGGGGCAAATTACTTAGCTGCTCAGTCTCATTTCCTTATTGTAAAAAGAGTACACATCTCATAGTGTTGCTATGAGGCTGAGAAAATGTACATAAAATACTTTGAGGAATATCTGATAATATCGGCATTTCCTTCCAAAGAGAACATCACGTTCCTATCATCATCAAACCAAGTCTTCCTTATTGGAAATAAACTCTCAAATTGCATATCTGCAGGAGTAAATTGCTCTCATAGTGACACATGGATCAAATACTTTTCATAACCAAATGGGGGACTACAATGATAAAATTTGGCTTCAACAAAATTTAAGCTGACAATTTTCCTTAGAAATCTAAAGGATGTTGCTAAAAACTTGGCTTCTCTAGAGAAGAGGCTGATGCTGTTTTATAAATCTTTCACCAACAAGAAAAGCAAATTTTGATAAATGTGATTCTTAGAGAACCTAAGTCAACTTATGAAGAGAACATCCCCAGGTCAATTTCACAGAGTAAGTGATAGAGACCCTGCCATTTCAGTAAGGGAAACTCTTGTATTTACTTTGTTTCTCTACGGGACATAATACACATAAAGGCAGTTTTAGCTAAAACTTAGTGGCAATTCTGCATTAATTCAAGAAACTACATAAATTATTTCCATGCTAAAAGCGCAGAATTTGTATTGAATATTAAGCCAAAAGAAATTAGGATACTAAGAGAAAATATTTGACCAAAATTATTGCTGTATTTAAATGTTTATGAATTTAAATGTAAGCAATTTATCACTTAAGATTCTTTCAGCTGCAGAAACAATCTGTCCTAAAGAACAGAGACCTGGATTTGTTGATATAACAGAGAATCTGTTAGCAAGGTAAGCTTCAGGATAGGCCCAAGTGCTAATGATGTCACCATAGACTCCATTTTTCTCTGACTCTCCACTCAGCTTTGTCATAGGGCTCATTCTCCTTACAACTGTAGGATAGTTGTCACTGCCAATTGAGGCTACAGGCTTCCTGGTCTCTCTCTCAAATATTGAGAAAGCTTTTTACCCAGAAGCCCCAGGAAACTTCTCTTTGAATCTCACTGGCCCAGTCCACCGTGGGCCAGCAATTTGAGAACCAATCATGGTCAAGGGCAGCCAATTACTATGAGTAGCTAGACTGACCAACTGAGTCAATTACGACGTCCACTGCAACTAAAATTACATTAGTTACACAGAGTTCCTCTGAACAAGTGCCAGTATATGTGGAAACTTAGGTAGTTACGTAGCTTCCACGTGCCTTGATTTCTCCTACAGAGAAAATGAAATAAATATCATACTAGTCCTTTTTTGGCGTTGTGGGGGCTGGGAGTTGGAAAGATAAAGTAAATGATATGGAAATGCTCTGAATCAAGGATACAGTTATTAAAACTCAAAATAACACTAACTTAGTTGTGATTACTTACTGAATTGAAGGCCTGCCTTATTTGTACAAACAAAAATATAGCAGAGTTTAATCATAAGAAACAAAGTTAAGACAACAGGAGAGCAATTTGGTAATAAACATCAAAGCATTAAAATATTACATATTCTTTGCCTACTTTCAGAATTTAAAGTAAGGAAATTATCCTCTATGTGGGCACAGATTTAGTTGGAAGGATGTCGATTTATCGCATTGTATTTGTTACAGGGAAAAATGTGGAAATAATCTAAATATCCAAGAGGAAGAGGCTAAGAGAATAAATTATGACATATCTACCATATAATATTCTCAGTCATTAAAAATGATAATGTGTTTTTCTCACGCATCTTTGTCACCTTGTTGCCCAGCACCGGATGACACATTGTAAGTGTTCAATAAATATTTGTGGGATTATCTGAAAAAAATAATGACGTAGTTTTATTTATACATATTGGGTTTGAAAAGATATCCACAACATTCTATTAAAAGAAAAAGAATATATTACCAAAAAACACATATAACATGATCTCATTTATAAAATTTCTGGAAGGTTTTTTATAAAACATTGATGAGCTACCAGGTGAACTTTGCTCTCTTCTCTTTTTCTGTGAACTGAAGTTTTTTATAAGGAGAAGGTTTTATTTTTAAAGATGACAAAGCTGGGGCCAACCCCGTGGCCAAGTGGTTAAGTTCCTGCGCTCCGCTTCATCAGACCAGGGTTTCGACGGTTCGAATCCTGGGTGCGGACATGGCACCGCTCATCAGGCCATGTTGAGGCAGTGTCCCACATGCCACAACTGGAAGGACCCTCAACTAAAAATACACAACTATGTACTGGGGGGCTTTGGGGAGAAAAAGGAAAAATAAAATCTTTAAAAAAAAGATGACGAAGCTATCTATATTTAGAAAAGTGGTGTGGACAAGTATTTAATGACAGAGTAAGAGATTCACAAAATATTGTTTAGTGACAAAGCATACAAAATTATTTATTGTATGATCCCATTCTTATCCTAAAAGTATATATCTATATGTATTGAAAAAAGACTGGAAGGATACACACCAAAATGTTAGCTATAGTAATACCTGGTAGGGTTATAGGTGGTTTTTATTTTCTTTTTAAAGATTAATGGAAAATGGAACTGAATTTTAAGTGCAGATTTAAAAAAAAATTAAAGAACTGGAGATGAAAAGTACAGAAATTGAACAAATATATTCTAAAAACTCATTATAAAGCACTTGTATTCATCAGGTCACATCATGTCCCAAGCATATCTAATGAATAGATAGTCTCTCTCATTTGCATATAAAAGGCTTAAAATATTAATGTAAAACAGAGTTCTACCATCTTCCTCTGTGCTGAGAGCAAAACTGGAGGAGACATACAACGTGGATTAAGGACAGAAATAGGTGTTGGTGGCTCAGGGCTCAATTCTTTTCTGTACTTGTAATTGCCTTTCTCTGAGCAAATCATAATATTTCATTATCCTAGTTTATTGATTTGGAAAAAGAGCAGTGAAAATAGTGACTTCTTCACAGAGCTGCTATGAAAAGTCACGGAAATTAAGTACTTTGAAAACACTCAGCCAAAGTACCTCACTTAATGTGAACGCTTCAGTGGAATGGCAGTATTTTACCATCCCCACATCCCATGTTAATGACATGTGGGCTAAACGGCCCCCCCCCCCCACCGCCCGGTTCCATTTTACATTCTGTCTCCCTGTCGCTTGTGGATGTGATGTTAGGCAGTTTATACGTATTTTCTGTTTTTGCCTGCTCATCATCTATTTCTCCACTTTCTCTGTTTTTCTTTACAGGCAATCTCTGTGAAACTGCTCAAAAAAGTGCTGTGCCTTCAACCAAGATGTCAGCAGAGACCCAAGCTAGGCCAACTAGACCCTCTTTCCCAGGGATGTGGGAATGAGGGGAGGGCCAGGACGCCTGGAGTAGATTTACCCTGACAGCAGGGTCTTTAGTTGCTGCCCTGAGGTCCCTTTCCAAGGCCTGGGTTCTTTCAGAATTCCTTCAGTTCTCTCAATTCATCATACTCTTCTGATAAATTCCTTTATTCCTTAAGTCAGTCACAGTTGGTTTCTGTTACTTATGACCAAAAAAACGTAGCTTAGATAAGGAGCCTATATAACATGTCCCTGAAGGGAACGGGACTAAAAATTGAGTCCTCAGCACTACATAGAAGCATCTGCACATAGATGACCTTCAGTGGCAGAGCCCTTTCTGGTTTCTTGCCTGCACCAGGATGAGCTCCCAGCCTCCCTGGGGTGCTTTCTCTAAGCATTACAGAACAGCAATTCTTATATGAGGCTCTTATTCCCCGAATGTAAGGACTAGACTTATGCTATCCAATATGGTAGCCATTAGCCACATGTGGCAATTTAAATTTAAATGAATGAAAACTAAATAAAATTAAAAGTTCAGTTCCTCAGTCACAGTAGGCAAATTCAAGGCTGGTGGCTACTGGGCTAGCACAGAGATAGAACATTTCCATCATTGCAAAAGGTTCTGTCGGACACTTTATTTATTTGGTTTCAACAAAATGGGCTTACTTTGGTTTTAGCTAACTGAAGCACAGATAAACATGCTTCATGTAATACATTGTCAGGAAATGTTCTTAAACTCTAATTAAAGGATAAGCTTTTAAAGACATAAGTTGTGAAGAAAAAAGTGACACAGCCCAGGCTTGGAATCCTAAGACCTGGAGGAATCCTGGCCCTGCCACTTACCTTGGGCATGTCACTCCATTGTTTTTGAGCCTCAGAATCCTCATTTGTAAAGAAAAGCTAAAACTAACCCAATGGACTCCGGTAAGAATAAAGTGGTATAACCCGGGTCAATGTTCTTAGCATGGTCCCTGACACACAGAGGGTTGATTCAAAATAGAACAATGAAGAGAATCTAAGCGCTCATAGGGCCAGGTGTGAAGGCAGCGTCTGAGGGCACTAGGTGGTGTAGACGACACCCAGCCATCTGGATTCCCTCCATCTACTGAGAAAAGAATTAGGATTGGACATCACAGGCCTCCCTTGATTCTATTGTTCACTTTCCTGTCTTCTCCTCCTCTCAATATCATTACCCCCACATCTCCCCAGCTGGGCATGGCATGGACTTCCCTCTAGAAACTTCTATTTTAAAAGACAGATATAATGATTCCAACTAATTCTGTAGGAGAACAAGCGAACAAATGACGAAATCAGAATTTGTAAAAAAAAAAAAAAAATAAGCTTAGCGTTTGGGGCTTTGAGTTGTAAAGATGATATGACTTGGACCACTATACTCTCACTCTTTGTTTAGTTTTGTTCGCCTTAGGCTTATCCACATGCTAACTGCTGGAAAAAAAAGTCTAAACTCAATGGTGGTTTTTATTTTTCCTTCCAACAAATCTCAAAGGTCTAATAATGATTACCATGTATGAAGCTAAAAGAGCACAGAGAGATCCTGAATGTGTTAATTTTACTTGAGAAAAATTGAATATGAGCCAGAAAGAATATATAATATATGTAAGTCTCATTAAGCTGTCATTACTTGGAAAGATAGTTTCCAGGCAAATAAATACCCAAATCTTGTTCTTGCAGCTCCCTCTGAACAACATATTCAACCCAAATCTAACCTCACACATTCTGCTGACTTCAAAGAGAATTATGGGTGAACAAGAAAATGAGAATCAGGTAGGGAAATTATAATTCCGAAAAAGAAAAACATGCCATCATTGACTGGACCGCTCAGGAAGAAAGCCATTCTCCTTCAACACATTTACCTGCTCAAAAAGGCCAAAATGTTTTGGGGTCTAAATTTTTGCTTCTTTAAAAATAAAGCAGAACTGGAAAAGATACTTTCACATGCCCCCCAAAGTTGGGGGTGTAACTTATCAATAATATTCACTTGTTTTATTCAATACACATTTTCCGAATGTTCCCTCTGTGCCAGACACTGCACACCAATTGGTCAATTCAACAGACTCTTGAAAAGCTGCCCAAAACAAAGTCAGTTTTCAAGCTGTCTAGAGGAAGTAGCAATAGAATTTCAGGTTTTGTATCTTTGATTTAAGTCAATGGGATAATAATAAAAACAGCAACAAAGCCATCAATTTCAGTATCTAGAGGAAAGGACGGACTAGGACAAATGTGAAAGAAAAGCTACCCCACAATGATAACTTGTATCCATCTCACAGGTTAGTGATCTGATTAATACCACAGCTTAGAGGAAGAACACAAGCAGAGCACAGTCCGTCTGCCAGCTATCCTGACAGAGGTACCGAGGCTGTCTCCAAAGTTAGGGAACTCTCCCTAATAATACTCCCTCATAATACTCTTCCCCATAACCTTCTCTAGCCTACCTCCCAGCTATGTATACTTGTCACCAGCATCACCTTCCAGAGGTAACTTGGCTTCCATTTCTCTACAGAGGTAATGAGGAAGAAATCCTTAAACATGGCATGGAAAAACCATGCTGGAGAGAGCTGGAGAGTGTATGCTGGGGAAAACCGCTCATGTTTCAGAATTTGACAGGGGTGGAAAGCTCAACTCTGCCTGGGCCATGACTTACCTTCGGAGAATGAGATGCGATAATGGCCATATGCCTAAGGAGTGTCTTCAAGTGAATAGAGACTTTTCACAACAAAAGGATATTGGGCCACCAGGGCTGGACAAAGCTGGATATTTGGCATAAAAACACAGTGCATCATAACAAAGTCGTTTAAAACAGAATCTGCAGGAAGAAAAAAACGCAAAGCAGAAAAGGAAATTAGGTTCTTGTAGAAATCTTTAGGAAAGGAGAATATCTGTTCATTGGCTCTTGGTCAATGGTTCTGAGATGTTGGCTTGGGGTTTTGCTGTACAAAGAAGCACTGCATATAAAAATAATAATGTTGACAGAGCCTGAGATCAAAATTCAGTTTCTTAGGACAGTGGACAAAAAGTATAATATTTGAAAAAGAGACAGCCTGTACAAATGGAACTGGTCACCTTAGCCACAATGAATTTTTAAAAAAATACATATAATTAGGGCTGGCCCAGCGGCACAGAGGTTAAGTTCGCACATTCTGCTTCAGCAGCCCGGGGTTCACTGGTTTGGATCCCAGGTGCAGACCTACACACTGCTTGGCAAGCCATGCTGTCTGTGGCAGGTGTACCACATATAAAGTAGAGGAAGATGGGCATAGATGTTAGCTCAGGGCCAGTTTTCCTCAGCAAAAAGAGGAGGATTGGTGGCAGAAGTTAGCTCAGGGCTAATCTTCCTCAAAATAAATAAATAAATATTTTTAAAAGCCCCATATAATTAAAGAACCACCATGGGCAGTATCATGTATGCAGAGTTAAGACATGGTCATTTCTTTGTCTATCTTACACCATGTCTTTTGTCGATATCTCTTTTTCACCTGCTATTTCAAGAGGGAGCAATGAAGGATGAGAAGGCGACAGAATTATAGGAAGTGGAGGTGGTAAGTGCAGAGAATGAGGGAGACAAAAGCAGGAGAAAATGACAAGATAAAGTCTGTGAGCAGCAACTGAAGCAAAACGAAAGCTCTCCAGCAGATTCAATGGCGAATGTCCTATATTTGAAGCTATTTTTCAGGTAGGTAAGCAAGGAGCTGGCAAGAGAAATAAGGCAAGTCCCAAGACAAGCTGCATTTGCTTCATTTTGAATTCACGCTGGTTCTTCAACGCAAAGACAGCACTGTCCAGGCAGCCTTGCTGGGAAAGCATGTGAAGACAGATCTAAAAGCCCTGGGAGTACGCCCACTGACACTTGCAATCCAAGAAGATGCTACGGGGATTTTCAACTAAAAAATGAACTACACTGGCTGAGATCTGAGAAACATCTAACTTTTCAAATGGGAAATGGTAAGAAATAGGAAAATTTTAACTATGTAAATTAGATTTCCAATGTCTATGTTTTAAACAACTTATCTTGGCAAAGTTGGAATCAGGGACAAAAGGTTTAACCATTATACTCATTTTTTAAAAAATTGAGATGTAATTGTCATATAACATTGTATAAGGTTAAGGTGTACAATGTACTGATTTGATACACTTATATATTGCAATATGATTACCACTGTGGCGTTAGCTAAGACCTCTACCATGTCAGATACTACCATTATACTTATACTCATGTAAACCTAAGTGGTGAGTGTGAGCCCAAGCTGTCATTCAGTTGTCACTCAGTGTCAGCAGTCATTTCAGGCCCATTATACTGAGCCAGAGAAGGTGCCAGACAGAAGCTGCATGCAACTTTTTTTGTTAAGTACAAAAGGATTTTGGCTTGTCTGAATTTAACATCTAGAGTCACCTTTATATGTTTTATACATTCTCTGAGGATAGGGGAGGTAACACTTGCTGATAAAGCCTGTGCTAAGGAGTAGTTTAAATGTAGCTAAGGTGGAGATCTGAGTAGGGGACTCCAAGGCTGGGGAGCTGGTCACTCAGCATGGTAACCACCCAGCACCCAAATTTCAAAGTGGCTTTCTTGTTCTCTATGCATACGCAGTAACCCTTGAGAACAGACTTTAAAAAATCATTTCCAACTAGAAAATGATTTCTCAAGTCACTCGATGACAAATGCTGGTCATAGAAGTAAAAAATCTAGGAAACTAATAGTTCTTAGGCAGAAAAGAGATGTTTTGGTAAATTAAGAGAATGTACTGGCAAACCCTGGGGTGTTCATTTCTATGATGTAAACCAGTTTCACTGTCAACTCTGACGTTTCTCACTGTATTGTAAAACACACATGCCAAGGGTCCCCCAGCCCACTGCATCCATGAGTTTCATGGGCCTGAACCAGGATTACTTTTAGTAAACAGAATGACTGTGTGGCACGTTCTTATTTTTTATTATGAGCAGGATACTGACTTATTCTCTATCTCCAAGTCATGAACACTATTTGTGAGAAAATAAAATCAGAAAAACTGTTGGGAATGAAGTTTGATATTAAGTTATGATGTTAAGCTACTTCAAACATCAAACATGGAAGGGTCAGGAACCACATCCCACGTGCCAGCCACAGAACACACTGATTTCTAGGCTTTAATTTTTTAAGAAGCAACAATCTAGTCCCTACTTCTCTTAGAGGTGACTTTAAAAGAAAGATACATTTGTTCTTCATCAAATCTTACAGATCTTTCCTTAGATGCCATAGTCTCTAATGTACCAGAATCTCCCTTTTGAGTCAATATTCACCTTAAGGAAGATGCTGTTTCTCGCATTACGCAATCACACATTCTGGGCAAACAGTTAATCAGATGGGAAAAATCTGCTATATTTTTTCTGACCTTGGGTCCTAGAAATTTGGTTTATTTGAGGTTATGTATGCCTCCTGGAAGCAAGCAAGATGCTAACTGGTCCCTCAAGGGTTTCCTTTCTCAAGAAAAACTTACCACACTCTCCTTGCTTGGACATCTTCAACTATTCCCCAAAGCTTGGTTTTGCATTTAAGACCATCCAGGATCTGTACCCAAATTCTCAGACCTTACCTTCCTTCTCCCACTTATGTATCTGATAGTCTAGAAAAGCAAAACACTTGTTCTCCCTTGTCCACTTCTAGGTCAGAACTAATGCTGTCCCTCAGTGTGGAAGGCTTTGTCCCCATCTCCAGTTACTAGTCACCAGCCTTCCTTCAGGGCCACTTTAAAGGCTATATTCTCCATGACATTTTGCCTGGTCCCCTCAGCCAGTCAGTGCTGCTGAAGCACGGACCACATTCTGCCTGATATTCAAGCTATTTGCACATTCCTTTCTGTCCTCTAGTAGGTTACAAACTTCCTGAGGGCGGGAGGCTGATTTCTTATTCACATTGCGTGGTCCAGAGCATCCAGCTTAGTGGCTGCCCAACAAGAGACTCAACAAATATTGAAGTGAAACTAACTGCCCTGGAGCCAGAGATCCTACCATTTATATCTACTGCTCCCCAGTTAATTCACTACATAAAAAAAACCCCTCAGATAATCTATTTAAAGAATGAGAAACTGGAATGGGGAGATAAAATAGGAAGTAAATCAGTGGTAAAATACTTATAGGAGATATATAATAATAACGATAACTTTGCAAAGAGGATGGAAATGGACTCTGAACTACCACTCAGTTCTTGAGATAAATCTTTGAACTTCTTTTAGTGAGAAATGCTCTTCTATGAGCTCAGTGTGCTTGAAATATTAACCCATTAGTCTGAGAGACAGGCCAGTAGCATAGGATTTGAAAAAATAGTTGAATGTGGACCATTCCAAAGTCACGTACAAGATGGTAACCAAGGTGGAGAATGATATAAAAACTCAGAACACTTAGCTCACTGGTGAGATTCATCTCATGCACCCTCAAATCTCTGGGTCTTAGTTAACAAGACTGGCTTACTGTGAGGTGGCGTGATGGGTTGAGTTTTGTCCTCCAAAAAAGGTCTGTTGAAGTCCTAAACGCCCGGGACCTGAGAATGTGACCTTATTTGGAAATAGGGCCTTTGCAGGTGTTAAGATGACGTCATTAGTGTTTCCTTATAAAAAAGGGAAATTTGGACACAGAGACAGAGGCACAGAGGGAAGACTTTGTGAAGAGGCACAGGGAAAATGCCATGTGAATGAGAAGGCAGAGATCTGGATGATGCACCTACAAGCTAAGGAATGCCAAAGCCTGCCAGCAAACCAGAAGCTGGATGAAAAGCATGGACCATACTCTCCCTCATATCCCTCAGAAGGAACCGACCTTGCCAACACCTTGATCTTGGACTTCCAGTCTCTAGAGCCGTGAGACAATAAATTCTGTTGTGGTACTATGTTACGGCAGCCCTAGGAAGCTGCACAGTGGTGTTTAGTTATACTCTGGGCAGCCCGAGAAGGTACAGCCACAAAGAGAACCATTTTACTCCCAGTTGGAGCAAGGTCGGGCTTTTCATGTAGGCAGCTTCAAATCCTTTATGGGAATAGGCAGGATTTAAATTGCAACCTAACAGAGGCCTACGGAAGGCTACTCCTAATACGTGTGAATGAGACTAAGCCATCTATAAAGGTCAGTCAGGGCTAGAGTGGGCAGAGGACGGTCAGAAGGATTACTCCCTGACTGGGCCACACAAGGATGCTCCTCTAATGTTAATGCATATAATCCCCTTCTACAACTGCTTTGGCTAGACACACTGAGAATGAACTCAGGATATATTTTTTTTTTTTTGAGGAAGATTAGCCCTGAGCTAACATCGGCTGTCAATCCTCCTCTTTTTGCTGAGGAAGACTGGCCCTTAGCTAACATCCATGCCCATCTTCCTCTACTTTATATGTAGGACACCTGCCACAGCATGGCTTGCCAAGTGGTGCCATGTCTGCACCTGGGATCCAGACTGGTGAACCCCGGGTCACCAAGGTGGAACACACACACTTAACTGCTGCGTCACCGGGCTGGCCCCAGGATTTTTTTCTTTTTTTATAATGCTTTGCATGGATTTAATGGATACATGAAACTGTTCTAAGTGTTTACCTGTTGCTTCATTTAAAGCTGGCTCAAGGCGTATTGTTTCTAGAAAATGCTCTAAAATTTTTTCAGGTGTTCCTGACATCACAGTATACCTGGATAAGAAATAAAAACATCATTAGGTTTTAAAAGTGGGCAAATCATTAATAAATAACTTCTCACATACCTACATTGTTTATTTTTGAGATCCCAGGGAACCATGCTGACAACTTCTGGCCCATATGCACCTTAAGGTGAGAGAGACCACGTACCTTGCCGAGGTCACACAGGAAGACAACGGAAAAGCCACAAAGTGAAGTGGTTATTAAAACGTTAATTCTTTTTTCCCTACGCGGAACTAAAGTGAACTTCTTAGAGAGTGGCTCGCAGGCTGGGAACTGAGAAATTTGTTCCAAGGGGAATGAAAGGAACATGTATCTCAGGGCAGTTCAGGACAGGCAGGGGGAGCTGGTGAGAGGAAGCGACAGTAAACCAGGTTATCCATATATGGGTCACTTGTAGCAAAATTTCACTCCCACACTGGATTCCCCTGCCTATTTCTGGAGTGCTGTCTTTCCCAACTGTACGCTGGTATGTGCTTTGGAAAGGCAGCTGAGAATAAAACAAGAGAAAAGAAAACAAAACCCAAAATACCAATGAACAAACAAACAAACCCCAGTAGCATCTGAATAGGAAATAAAACATCAGTAGAAAATCCATGTAATTTATTTCAATGTCCAATATAAATTATTTTGCGGGGGGTGTGTTAGCCATTATTTAAGAAGATCCATCCATGGGGCTCTTCAATCAACAGGAGAGGATTTATTCTTTAAATTGAACGTGGGTTATTTCAAAGTCATATTCACGATGGTAACAAAATGGAATGAACACCATACACACATTGTATAGAAGACATTAAGATGATCTGGTGTTCCTACCCCAAAACTCAGACTTTGCTTTTCCGCTTGGCATTTCACTTGAAGCAAAATGACAGGGAAGAAAAAACAATGGAAATAAAATCCTCTTCTATTCAGAAAGCAGCAGTAGAATTCAGCTCCCGGAGAACCCACATTTCTTCGCCTCCTCACCGACACCCTCTCCCTGCCTGTTTGAGACCTCGCAGGAAGTGTGCTGAGATCCCGAGAATGTCTCTAACATATTTAGTCTCATAGTCTTCACCTCCTGTCCGAGGGAGTGAAGAGGAGCCCACTCAACACATGACCCTGCGACGTGAAAAACGGAGAGCGAGTCGATCAGCCCTGGTACTGAATGAAGCAGCACATGCAGTCCAACTGGAAGGTAACCGGCAGCTGAAGCTTTTCTGTGTGTGCATTTGTGTGTGTGTGTGTGTGTGCACTCAGGGCCAAAAGGAAGCTGAAGAGTTTACATCTTTGAGGAAACCTGTCTTTGGAGCCTAGAGGAGGAGCAGGGGAATTAGAAAAAAATTATCTACTTTAATCTCAAAAGTATGACCTCTTTCTCAAAGTAAATAAGGTAGAAAACAAGGGTTTTTCCTCTAATAGGCAATGACTATTTGAGGAAAGGAGAGGGCATATCTATAAAGGACATTCAACACTAAAATGGAGAAAATTGCTGAGTTCATTCAATAATTCCTGAAATACAGGATTTTTGGACAGCGCTCACCAGATGAGCTGGAAAAGGAGCAGCATCTGGCCACACTAACTAACAAGGAACTGCAGTTGGAGGGGGCATTCAACATCTGTCAAATGCTTACGAGGCCCCAGACAACCAGGTGGGCATTGAATGACATCGTCATCTTTACTCCTGCTAGTCAAATATTATCTTCATTCTGCAGATGGAGAAACCGGGCAGCGAGGGGAGGGGTTAGGCCTGTGGTCCCAGAGTTAGTAAATGTGAGATCTCTGCTGTGAGCCAGGTCTGGCTTCAGAGCACAAGTGTGTGTCTCATAGGGCTGCTCTGCCTGTGCAGCAAGATGCTCGGGGCAGAGGCTCCGTCCAGGTCCCTGGAGCTCCTTACAAACAGGAAGTCTGCTGTGCAATTTAATATCCCCTCTGAAAAGGGCTTGCTTGTTTCTGAAAACAAGTTTTATTTAAATAAGAGTGTAAATATGTAACATAGAAAACCAGTTACTCATTTCACATGGCATTGGACTTGTTGCTAATAAGGGGCAAGCTCCACAGCTGGGTATGTGACTGGTACATCAGTTTGAAATTTGTTACTTTGTCAAAAGCTTAACTCTGATAAAAGATTGGCTTCACATTCTGGTGTTCTTTGTTTGGATATCTCTTAGCTAGGGTATTACGTCTGGTCAAAAAGAATAAAGACCTGAGTGGCAAGCCAGATATCCTATCATGTCACTAGAGAAAAGTGGCCTCTCTAAGCTCTGCCCACCTGGTCAGTCTCGGACGCCAGGGCATCTTTCTTTTGCTGTCAAAGGCTCCCTCTAGTGGTACAGCTGCCATGGCAGCCTCACCTCATCCTCTCCCTCTTCTCAGCTCCACAGATGGCTGTTCAGGTGGTGACATTCTCTTAGGGCAGGGATCTCTGGAGAGGGAGGGCCAGGGAGCCTCTGGCCAGACATAGCCGGCTGGGATCTGGCAGCTATGGGTTTGGCGGAAACATCACTTCATTGCTTTGTTTCAGGCTGCCCAGTGCCGGGAGCCTACTTCTTGACCCCTGTTTAACTGAGGGACTTGAAGACCAGACAGGGTGGCTCTTTTCAGTTTACTGCACCAAGGAGCTACTCTAGTTGAAGTTCAAGAGAGCCCCAATTGGTTACACTATCCAAGCTGTGAGGTTTTAAGACTGTGCCAGAAGATCTTTTCCTCCCCCCAAGTGTGGCAATGAGGACACTTCTATCTGCACCTAGAACCAAAAGAGAGGTGGGGGAGGGGGACCTGAAAGAGACCCTTTCTGCAAACAAGATGGAGCTCAGCAACTGGGTGGTTGTTAGTCTAAGGAAAAAGCAACTCAGTAACTAAAATAGGGAGAGCTTTCAAATTCTCTCTTAAGAAAACCACCTAAGCACAGAGCAGAAGATATCCACAATGGTAAATGTATGAGGGCTCCATCTAGTGTATCCATCATGAGACATACTGTCTTGTTATTGACATTTTACTATCACATTCAGAGTTGAGTGGCTTGGGGAGAGTCAGGCAGTTTCGAAAGTTTAAAATGTATACATAAACTATTCTGGATTTCTCAGGAGAAAAATGAATCCAAACAATAATATTATTAGCACCAACATGGTGACCCTCTTTGAAAAGCTCAAAAAGCACAATTTCTGAGGAGACAGAGGCCCTAATGGTTCCTAAATTTTAAGTCCGTCCATAGACATGGTTGTTGTCATGTTATTGAAGTTTTCCAGAAGATCAGGCCTAAATTCACTTACCCAGCCCCCCTTTCCAACTCTGGTCTGGTATGGAAAAGCTCAACGTGGACAATGACCCCTTGAGAGAGTGGCTTTTTACTCTTCAAGGAACTGATTTTGTGGGTGCATTATTTTGTACTCATTGATATGTCTTAAATGGTGTGGTGTGAACACACACAAGGTTTTGAATTATAGATGAAATTTGGATCGGTGTACAGGACACGAATAAGGAGATACAAGGGAAATCAGATCCAAGTCTAAAACAAATTTAATGCACATGGCCTCCCCTTTCCTGTTCCCTTTAGTTTGATTTCATTAAAACAATCAATATTTGGAGGGCACTCTGAATGCAAGATGTTGTAACAAGCAAACACTTTTGATCACTTCCCCACGATATAAAGATGCGAAGGAAAGGGACCTCCAGCGACCTTTTGGTGAAATGTTTCAAGGTTAAGGAGAGTTTTTAAGGCTTACTTTTCCAGGTAGCAAAATTGTCCTGAGCCATCTGAGGCATTTTTAAAGAATGCAGATTACCCCTGTAAAATGGTCTAGTTATATTTAAGAGCACTAAAGAAAATCTTTGGGGGTAGTCCCAACATTCCATAAAAAATGTTTTCATTCTCATCTTCCTCTGTGGGCTGAAGGGACAACTGTTGAAAACACTTGAGCAAGAACATTTTCAAGAATGAATGGTAGTGAAAAATAAATAATAAAGGATTCTGGATGGTAATTTTATACATTTGTAAGTCAAAGGATAGTTTTTTACATAGTCTATTTTATTTCAGCCCTTCTGAAATATACTGGTTTGCAATGTTGACGAGATAGTGTTGAGGATATCGTATTTTGCTATAATAACTTGCAAGGCTGAAGGAGCAAAAGCATTGAAGTTGGTCAAGCCAGACCTGAGTCCCAGCTCTACCATTATAAGCTTTATCATCTTGGACAAGCAACTTGCTTCTCTGAGCCTGTATTTCTCCATCTGTTAAAAGGGGTTGTGATAAGGATTAGATAAAATAAGCTATGACTATTCAACAATATTATATTTCTTCCTGCCTTCTTTGAAAATATGTTGATTTATCCAGATGAAAACGTCTGAGGCTTTTAGTCTAAACAATAAAAATGCATCCATTATGGTGAGTGTCCTGATTAAAGGAAACACCCCATTTATGTGTCAAACAAAGGAAAATTACTCGGGGTGCATTCTTTTTCAACATATTATTCAGTAACGTGTCTTTAGCTACAGAATTGCTGTTTTTATTATTCCAAGATTGTAAATTAATCTTTATTTTAAAAACTAGATTCTGTAATTTTCTACAATTTCTTAGAGCTATGTTTCCTAATTCTCCTATCTTATCATTCAAATCTTGGTATTTTTGATGAAAAATTCTCATGCAGGAAGTTGCAGCAAAAGATGGAACTGAACACAGAAATACTGAAAAAGACTCAGGTTAAACAGGGGACCTGAGAAACGTGAACCAAACGCCCTTTTGACATTAGCAGGAATAAGTAGGGATGAGGCCAAGTGGATGCTTCTGGGCTGCAATCAACAGACTCTCTTATATTGGAAGTCTGGGTCTCCCTTAAAGATGCTCACTCTGATAACAAGATGAATACACTTCTTGAGAAATCCTCCATATGAAATTCAAATACCAAAGGTTCTCATCACCTAGGGGCCTAAGTATCCTGTGAGCTGCCCGGCATTCCCATTTCCATTGTTCTTTCTCTTCCAAAGCTATTACAGTTGGACACTGTATACCAAGAGCGTTTTTAGAGTAGAGGAATATTCTCCCTCCAATTACTCTAGGCAGCACCAAGCTCAACGCAGTGCCAGAAATGGATACATTATACTCCACAAGATGTGTGATTAGTCAATAGAGAGAAAAAAAGCCACATGCATTGCCATCTTCCGCAAAAAATGAGACCATGCTATTGTAGAAATGATGATACCATGTGAAAAGGTTAATCATAGTCTGGCAATCGCAGCGTTGGACGCAAACCTACTTTTGCTGAGGCTGTGAGTTTCCTTGATTAGAAGCCCTGTTCCCTGCTGGGACCTTCTCCAGCACCAAGACATCTTGGTCATGTTCTTTAAGTCTGACTGTATTCGCCTCAACGTCCTGCAAATACAAATTACACCACATACAGATGCTGCTGTTTTCTCAGACAATGAAAAAAAATTCAAATGCTTCAGAAACTCATTTGGTGCTTGTGATGCTAATTGTTGCGTCTACAAATTAAGTCATTTTCAAAGTCAAGGGCTGCAACGGTCACAGAGAGGACCAGATGAGGTTTGAGGCATGTGATTTTAAAACTTTGCTTCCCCCCCCCCACCCCACCCGGATTCAGGAAAACAGCAAAGTAGAGAGGATGTGGCTGTGCTCTGAGAAACCTTTCGGAGAGGGTGGTAGAGCAGGAAGATGGGAGAGCAAATGCACCGATTCTTATCAAAAGATGTGGCAAACAGCACTCAGCTGTGGCAAAGTTCTTTCATTCTGATTTTCTTCTGAGGGTATTTAGTTTTCACAGCAGTAGCACCTTTTCTCTCTAATCAAAAGACATTGTTATTTTTTAAAAAATCAGTTTGAAATGTGTTAAAAACATTATTCGGTTATTTTGAATAATTTTATAAGTTACATCAGTGATAGTGGTCTTACTTAATCTATTCTTTCAAAGAATCTTTTGGCTGAGTGTAAACTCCATGTGTGTAAACTTCAAAGAGTTAGTAGTTTACCTCTAAATTTCAATGTCATTTTAATAATTAATTTAAAAAATTTAATGTGCTTTTTCTCATCATTTGGTTCTCATTTTAAGAGAGATTAGATAAGAATCAAGTCAAATTCCACGTGGTATTTTTTCTGTTTTAGTCAGTGGTATAATTTTTTTTTTTTTTTTTTAAAGATTTTATTTTTTCCCTCTTCTCCCCAAAGCCCCCCGGTACATAGCTGTGCACTCTCCGTTGTGGGCTCTTCTAGTTGTGGCACGTGGGACGCTGCCTCAGCATGGTCTGATGAGCAGTGCCATGTCCGCGCCCAGGATTCGAACTAACGAAACACTGGGCCGCCTGCAGGGGAGCGCGCGAACTTAACTACTCGGCCACGGGGCCAGCCCCGTCAGTGGTATAATTTTTAATTTAACTTTCTCTGCAGTAAGAGAATACATTCCTAAGGGAAATTTTGCTGTCAGAAATTTTGCCACCAAAAGCAAATGTGGCTCTGTAGGGATAGGTGTCCATGCATAAGGAATGGAAAATGACACTGTAAATCATCGTTGAATAATGTCAAACGTAGCAGAAAGCACAGAAGCTGCATTTAGGACTCTAGGGTAGGACAGAGGAAGATGCTAAGGCTGGGAGAGGCTGAGAAGGGAGTCTGCTCTGTGAGCCAGGAGGCAAGGGAAAGGAACAAAGTGATCCTAGAGGGAACAGTCTCAATGAGTGGTCTCAAGCTGGGGTGAGATCACCTGAGAGGACTGGGGTGATGGGACACTGTCATTATCCCCAGCAGTCCACAATTAGGCTTCTACCAGCCAGAGCTGGGTTGTTGCTCCCAAAGAACCAGGACCTGCTTGGTGGCAAAAGACCAGGGACCATCTCTTCTAAACATCATCCACTCTCACAAACCTTAACAAGTTTACCTTAGGCCCATCTGCAGAGCCAACTTTAAGTGCAATTTCATGGCTCCTTCTACCACCTCCATTATTCTTCACCTACTTGCCGATATCTGAAATTCTTTTAGCGTGAATCGATTTGACATAAAGTACTTGCAATGAAAATGTTTGGTTGGAGTAACCCATGATTGATGTTATTTCGCACTAAAATATAATTACTCAATAAATCAAGAGAGTGTGTGGTGATATGAGAAAGGCTCAGATTTGAGATTCAGATCTTTGAGAAAGGTCCAGAAGAGACAGGAGGTAGAGGCTAGGAAAGGAGGCCTAGGATAGAGAAAGACGTGGAGGGTGAGGGGAGGAAGGACACAAAAAGGGAAGACAGGATTGCCAAAGAGAAACGTCTCAGACTTTGACACTTTGCCAAGGCAATCCCTATTTTTCTTCAGTTCTCACGGACTGGTTCAGATGTGTGTAGAGTTATCTGGTCCAGCACAGCGTGCCACCTGTGCAGCTTTACTGAACTGTCCACCTTTGGACCCCAGAACGCACACCAGCACATTGAATGTCCCAGGTTTGTAACCCAGGCTTTTTGTTCCTTGAGCATTCATTAATCACAGTACTGCTCAATTAACACTACGATCAAGTCTTCACTTATCTGACAAAAGGATAAACGGGATACCCCTCAGCCACACTTTGCCTTAGACTCACCCTCAGGATTCGGTTGAAATCCTCCTTGTCCACTCTTAAGAAATGGCAATTATCTTCTCGCAAGACGATGGAGGCAGCTCTCGGGGCGTCGTTCACTAGTGCTAGCTTGCCAAAGTCATCTCCCTCATGCAGGGTGCAGACCACACCCTGGAGAGAGCAGAACATTCAGAAGATGATCCCTGAAATGGGGCAAACACCCCCCCCGCCTCACACCACAGACCCTTTCCCCTAAAACACTGCATATATAAATGAGCTGTACTCAGGGGTACCAAAGGAGGGTCACATAATTCAATTATAATGTTTCATTTTTCTTTCATTGAATAATACGGGCTAGGGCCTAACTTAAATGTATACATTATATCTATAAGGAGATGAGCCCCAGAAAGTTCAATACAACTCTGAGTAGGATGGTTTATGATTAGAGATGCTATAATGTCTTTCCTACATCGAGTAACAACGTTGTTGCAGTTTAATCGTAGCACTACATTGTTAATACTTAAAGTGATGCTAGTAAATGGAGCACAATAAAGTTTCAAAAAGAAAAAGATATATATATATATATATATACCTTGCCATAAATGACTACATTCACCGATCCTTTTAGAATAATGTACCAGGAGGTACCTTCTTCCCCCTGGTTGAACACTAGATACAAAAAGATGAAAAGCCTTATGACAAGAATGGAAGCACATCAATATAAATTACAGCTCATCAAACCATCATTTGTAAGTCCCCAGAATTACACATTTATTCCAGAAGGGAAAAAACATTACTGGCAAATACTAACTTATTCAGATGGAATATGATTTCCTTTTCTATAGAACATGAAAGGAACAGAAATACTGCACTACTTGCTATGCCCTAAGATAGGTATTTACTAGAGATCAATTCACCAGCAATCCATTTCTTAAAGCAATAAATACACTTTCCCTCACAATTCATCAAAGCTTATTATGCTACAGAAAATAGTTTTTAAAAGTAATCTGACCAGTAATGTGAAGTTTGAAAACATGCAAATCAGCCCTACATATTGTTTATGAATACCTATCCACACATGTTTTAAAAAATGGGTTGGAATGATAACTATGTCCTGTAGGGTAGGAGTTACCTTGGGGAGGGAGGGAGAAGAATGAGATAAAGGAGGAAATAAGGGGCCTTCAACTGTATGTGTATAATTTCATTCTTTAGAAAATATGAAAAAAATCTGGCATAATGTCAGGGTTTGATAAAGATTAAAAAGCTGTTAGTAATAATCTCTATTTTTTTGTTTGAAATATTTAAATATTTCATAATAAAATAAAAACAATCAGTAAGTTTGAGTGAAAAGAATGAAAGAGAAGTTGTAAGTCATCAGTGATTGTAAAAATAAAAGAATTAAAGTAAACCTTTAAAATTTAAAGAAAGGACATTCTTACTAAGACACATGTCAGTGTTGGAAACACCCGAGGACTGAAAGTAAAACATTTTGAAATATAATTTTTAATTCTTTTTGCTTTTACAATTCATGTTCTCTGCTTATTTGACTAACACAAAGAGTGAGATTTTCCAGAGATTGTTTCTGGAAAACTTAACAGGTGTCCATTAAAAAAGCGTTCCATGTCTCCCTAGGTCTAGGCAGCGTCAGTTTAAATGACATGAACATTTTTCTTTCTTGCAGAACTTCTGAGGACCTTAGCGTGCTGATGCATCTTATGATTCTTCAAGAGAGATTAGGGAAGGTGGCATTTCCTAACCGGAGTAGACCACTAACAACGTTTTTCAAAAAAAATTTTGTAGGACATGTGGGAAATGCCAGCCTAAATAATTTTGTTCATGCTTATTAATATCAAATTTTAACTTCTCGCTTCCAGATATGATCACAGAATTAAACTACAACCTGGATTCTGGAGAGATACTATATATTAACACTGCATAAGTATTTGGGGCAAAGAAATTCTCTCAGGCTTGGAGCTGATAGCGGATAGACAGAAGGAAAAGAAAGCAGGAGAGTTTAACATTTTAACTAGCAAGGTCGAGATAGATTAGTTCCTCTAAAGCCACAAATGGAAGTGAGGTCACCGTGAAAGGGTGCCTAGGGTCCTGCCTGAAGAGCAGAGACTTCATCCCACCCTCTTTACAGACTGCCTGGAGCCAGTAGGGTCGGGCTGGCAACCGCTCCCAGGCTGGGACCAGAAAACCACCGTGCTGCGCAATAGCAGACACGCACAGGGAATAATCACAGCCGAGAACCACAAAAGTGCCAGAGGACAGCCTGCCCGGTTAGACCCAGGCCCAAGAAAGGGGAGCGTTTGCAGTCAGGTTCCTGCGGCACATGCTCGCGAGGGGGCTGGCCAGGTGCCGTGTTCCACGACAGCTGTCACTTACACACGGTTCCTCCTTTGGCGTGCGACTCAAAAATGAGAACACCTGCCAACTCCCGTTTCACCTAGAAGAAAAAGAGAAAGAACATGAAAGGCCGTACTTGACGGGGGAAGGGGCTCGTTCCCTTTCCAGACCGTGCGAACTGCACCCTCTTCCCACACAGCCATCTCCCACCTCGCTTGCTGCTACTCTCATCCAGAACCACTTTCCAGAAATCTGCCCCTAGATTCTTAAAGCTCTTACAAAATCTATTTCATAAGCTAACTCATACAAGACAATCTGCCTACATACCGTCTAAAACATGGCTTCACACGTATGATCTAGCAATTTCTCTGCCTTTTATCTTGGGAGAGAAGGTGAGAGCATCTATAACATCATATGATGCTGTTACTATTAGAGGCTCTTCCTTGCATCACACATAATGCATCATTGCAGATGTTGGAAAATCCAATGTCTTGAAGCTGAATAATTAAGCTTAAACATGTGAGCAGATATATATTCCTAGATAGCTAATTTGTTTTTAAATTCCAAATTATGGTTCCAAATTATGGCTCCACGTCCCTAAGAATCAAGTAACCTGAGAATTTCCTCAGTGCCTGGGTCCCCGGGGTTGGAGGTAGAAGTGGAGACTGCCCACCATCCTCCCAATCCCACCAAGATTGGGAAAATCAGAACACGTGCATGCCGAGGACCGGGAGCACGGGTGGGAAAAGGGGTCCTCCTTCACTTCCCTCTACAGCATCAGCTCATGGAGCCTCAGCTGCTTGCCCCTACATATGCAGGAGCTCCCCTGGTGAGGGTCCAAGGCACTAGACCTGTCCCACCACGGAGAGAGTGAGGATGACACGGGCAGTAGTAGGCAGGAGGGGAGGCTGGGCTGGACCAGACTCCTGTATACTCTATGTAGGTGAGGCAGCTTCCAGACCCCAACTAGTACGGGGGGAGGAATGTGAAGGCAACTCTGTCTGGGTCGAAGGGCAAAAGGTTTGGGGATCTTCTGCTCAGGGTTGTGGCGAATGCCTCACTGCTCTCGGCAGAGACCTGAATCCCCAGGGCAGGGACCGTCGGCACTGCCACTACATGACAGCATAACATCACCAAGTGAGCTGGGAATGAAAGACAAATTAGGCATGTAGATAATGCTGAGGGAATTCAGTACAGTAGTCCCCCCTTATCTGTGGTTTTAGTTATCTGCAGTCAACCATGGTTGACTATTAAAAATATCAAATGGAAAATTCCAGAAATAAACAATTCAAACATTTTAAATTGCATGCCATTCTGAGTGGCATAATGAAATCTCGTGCTGTCCCGCTCTGTCTGGTCTGGGATGTGAATCATCCCTTTGTCCAGTGTATCCTCACTGTATACGCTACCCGCCCATTACGGACTTAGCGGCCATCTCGGTTATCAGATCCACTGTCAGGGTATTGCAGTGCTTGTGTTCAAGTAACCCTTATTTGACTTAACAATGGCCCCAAAGTGCAAGAGTAGTGATGCTGGCAATTCAGATATGGCCAAGAGGAGCTGTAAAGTGCTTCCTTTAAGTGAAAAGCTGAAAGTTCTTGACTTAATAATGAAAAAAAAAAATCAAATGCTGAGGTTGCTAAGATCTACGGTAACTTTTATTACAGTATATTGTTATAATTGTCCTATTTTATTATTAGGAGCTATGGTTGTTAATCTCTTACTGTGCCTAATTCATAAATTAAGCTTTATCATAGGTATGTCTGTGTAGGAAAAACATAGCATATATAGGGTTCAGTACTATCTGTGGTTTCAGGCCTCCACTGGGCTCTTGGAACGTACCCCCTGCAGAGAAGGGGGGGCTACTGGATATAATCCATGAATGTTAAAACTTCTTCTTTTTCTTCTTCTTTTCCTTATTGAATTGTTAGCATCCAGGAGACTCGTGTTGCCTAGAAATCATGTTCTCCATAGAGAACCTCCTACGTTAGGAGGCGTATCTGCCCCTATTCAGAGGCCAAATCTCCGTCCACTGCTTCCCTAAACACCCTCATCAGGTATAAGTTCAGAGTCAGATGGAGCCATTGGGCTATTTTGCACTGGCAGGTACTGCTTTTCTGCCCTAACATATCTGAACTAACGCTCTCTTGAACCTCCTGCTTCCTTTCTGAAGAGGGCAGCAAACCTGGGCAGAGCCAGCCCCTCGGGCCAGGATAGGTCATCTTGATTTCTCTCCTTCCTCCCTCCGGCTCTATATTTCACGGAACGGTCTCAAGTCCCTCTTAAAGGCCTGACTCTCCTGTCTCTGTGTGCAGGTTCCAAGGCTCGGATTTGGAAGGATGAAGCCCATGTTCCAATCCTACTCACATCACACTGCTTTGGAGTTTAGGGCACATGGGCAGCTACTAATAATCAGCTCTCGGTGATCGTTCTTGGGTGTAACTTCCTTAGCATCTCATGAGAAAGAGTGGGGAGACTTAAGAGGTAGAATTCAGGAGTTCCTACTCCACGCAACATACCATAATACTCTCTTCCAGTCCCACCAGTGTATTTAACTCAAAGTCCCCCTGAGCATGCTCAGTCAGAGACAACTTACAGTGGTGGAAAGGTGGGATAAGGCTTTAATGTGAAGGAGCTCTTCGTAGATAATTTCTAGGTCATCCACAGTCCTCTGGCCAGGTCTACAAAGAGAAAAGTAACAAGGAAATAATGAGAAAAACGTCATCACTACAGCTTGAAAATAGAAACGGGTTCAGGGGTAAGTTAGTTCAGGGATTTCTTAGGAGAAATCTTTATAAAAAGATACTGGCTGAGGGAAAGATTACGCCATTATAATCGCTAAAGGGGTTTTTGACATAAATGTACTCCTTGATAGAAGGACAAGGAAGAAATCAGATGTGCATACAGCCCTGCTCCGTTCCAATCTGAGGGAAGAACTCTCTGCTTACACTGTAGCTGCCTAACGTATCCCTCACTCTGTGGATGGTTACTCTAAAAAAATTGCTTTTCATTACCACCTTAATCAATAATGACAAAACTTGTCTTCTAACACCACTCGGAACAATTGGTTTCATCAATTGCATGATTGATCCAAATTCCTTGCGATCCTGTGTGATATCTTAGCTTAACAGAACAATAGTGCTGCTCTCACTAGTGTTTCAGGTTATGTAATATCCTTCTACCAGAGAATTCAAATAATGGATGTAGACAGACTCAACATTTCCTACCCACCCAAGAGGAGGTGAGGGCATGAGATGAGCCAAAAGCAAGTAAGTGCCTGGGATTAGTAAGAGAGAGAAAGTAGGGAGGTATACATTCACATTTCCCAAATTTTGTTCCATGAACGACCCTGTTCCATGCGATGTTAATCAGTGTAAAGTTTTTTCCTATAATTTATCATAAAACTAGGATCCAGTAATCTGCCTTTCAGGATGGGGTATGGGGGTGTTATGGGCATTTTGGCATGGGAAGACTGGATGGATTCCTCATCACCGTTCATGTCGATAATTTTTCTGGAATCACTAACAGTATGTACCCATATGTCAATGATAATAGATCTGACTGGTCAGGAATTTGGACTTCCTATTGCTCTCTGCAATATAAAGACCCCGACTATGTTTTTGAAACTTAAAAACAAACAAATGGGTCATTAATTCTAAGAGCACTAGGACGTCAATCTCCTCACTGACAAATAGGAAGCATACACCCCCAGCCAATGGCTGCAGTCATGATCATTACCTTAAATAACCCGTCAGTCTATTTTATGCATTTTATCCTAAAATTTCAACAATTTACAGTATTATTCAATGTTACCGTATATTAAACATTTAAACCTTAATGAGCTCTGATGGTATTCCATTCTGAATTACATTCCATTCTAAAAAGTGTGTCTTGGTCAAATAATTCGGGGAGTGGTGGTGTACTAAAGAGAGCACTGGATTTAGAGTCTGAAAATTAAGTTTAACTTCAGCGTAAGCATTCACTAGCTATGTGACATCAGAGCCCCAGTCTCATCTGTAAACTGGGGACGATACCTTCCTGAAAGAGATGTGAGAGCTAAAGGAAGCAGCGAATGTGAAGATATTTGCATATTTATTTAAGTGAAAAAAAAATCCAGTAAAGTGATATTCAGAACTCAAACTCTTGCATAAGAAATGCAAACTTAGGGCCTGGCCCAGTGGTGCAGGGGTTAAGTTCACATGTTCTGCTTTGGCAGCCAGGGGTTCACCAGGCCGGATCCCGGGTGTGGACCTATGCACTGCTTGTCAAGTCATGCTGTGGCAGGCGTCCCACATATAAAGTAGAGGAAGATGGGCATGGATGTTAGCTCAGGGCCAGTTGTCTTCAGAAAAAAAGAGGAGGACTGGCGGCAGATGTTAGCTTAGGGCTAATCTTCCTCAAAAAAAAAAAAAAAGAAAGAAACGCAAACTTACAAATAAAGTATGACATTTGATCCAGCAAATTACCTCTGAAACTTAGTCAATTATTAGATAAGTACTTTTAGCCATCAAACTGAATTGTAAATATTGTAAATAGTTAATTGGATTAAACAATTTTTGTATCCATATTACAATACGAGGAAGATGACAGATCAACTGGGGGCTAACGAGAGGAAGAAAACTCTTTGCATACCTTGCACATTACCTTCTCAAGGACAGCTTTAACACGAACAAAAGAATATGACATCCTTCTCTTACAGGATCAACGGAGGATGCATTTCCTAATCCTGACTGTGCAAAGACAGGTACTAAATCCATGACCCAGGGCGACGCCAGCCAGGTTCACCTCCCGCCAAGGATCATCACTGAAGGACACAACTGTGCTCCAATCTAGTGCTTACTGGTGGAACTTAGAAAGTATGGGACTCATAAAGACAGCAAAGAAAGAGATATGGCCACAGGGACTCTGAAGGAGACAGGCCCTCTTAGCAAGGGGCCTAATCTACTACTTGACTTAGACATGGGAAATTTGAAACTAGGACCCTTCCGGATTTAAAAGTCAATTGAGTCACCTCAGTCCATCTACGACCATAGAGGCAGCTAATGTGAAAGTCTCAAGGTAGGCGTAATAGGATTACGGCTCTCCAGCACGAGGAGCAGCCCTGCTGTTCTGGCTGCTTGATATCAGCTGCAAATCGCATGGCCCCTCCTAGAAGCTTGGCTAAAAGAGAAAACAGTTTCCAAGTCTCATGCTCACCTTTGTGGGGTAGGCTGTTATGGAGGGAGGAGAAAAACTCAGTTGGGAAAAGAAATGGTTAGAATTTAGCTCTAAAATCTTGACAGATTCAAAGTTGGAATTTTGGGAGCAGATCTCCATGAGTTTAGGAGGAGTGTTTACATAACATCAACGTGAAAGTTTAGAATCAAAGTGAGTTTAGAATCTACAAATCCTATTATACTAAAAACGATTATAGGGGCCAGCCCCATGGCCCAGTGGTTAAGTTTGGAGTACTCCACTTCAGTAGCCTGGGTTTGGTTCCCGGGTGTGGACCTACACCACTCGTCAGTGACCATGCTGTGGTGGTGACCCACATACAAAATAGAGGAAGACTGGCACAGATGCTAACTCAGGGCAAATGTTCCTCAAGCCAAAAAAAGGAGGAAGATTGGCAACAGATGTTAACTCAGGGCAAATCTTCCTCAGCAAAATCAATCAATCAATCAATATATTTTGTCCAAGAGTTAAAACATACAATGAAGAACTCTGTCAGATCCTCAATGCAGCATATTAAAAATTTGACCTAGTGGTTCAAGGCTTCCCTTTGCGCCATGACAGTTCGTCTTAGGACCTGCACCACAGTGTGGGAGAAGAGAGGTAAAGATGGCAGCATTCAAGCTATTCTTGAAACCTACTCCACTTCCCGCTGCCCCACACCATTGAGCACTGCCTGAAGCTCCCTTCTCCCATGCTGCCCACTCCAGGCTCTCCTCCTGCTCTCCTAAACATCTCTTCTCAGTGTCTTTTCTGGTCAGTTGTTCTTTTGTTCATCTCTTGAATCGTGCTGTACCCCAAGGCTCTGCCCTCACCTCTGTTCTCATTTTGTTCCACCTTCTCTCCCTGGAGAAATCCCCAACTTTCATCTACAGAAGGCCGAGCCCTAAATCCTTCTCTCCAAACAGATCTCTTTCCAGAGCGTTAATCGCTTCCTGGCCATCTCTTGCCAGACAACCCACAAGCACCACAAGCTCACTCTGTCCAGAAGTGCTCCCTCAAAATCACACAAGGCTCTGTTGAAGCAGATCTCCATTTGACTTTCCAGACTCGTCTATCTCCCTTTTCTTCACATCTTTGCTCATGGCTCTGTTCCCTCCTCCAGCCCCACCAGACATCTCTCCACCCCTCAGACGTGTTATGCTTTGTCATGCCTCCAAGACTTTTCACACGCTCCTCTCTTTGCCTGGGATTTTTTCCCCTGCCCCAAGCCCAGCTCAGCTGTCTTCTCTCCTAGGTAAAATCGGTTCCCCAACCTTTATTCCATGGCATGTGGTCCTACTGCTGCGGTGATGACAACCTACTGTCAAGAATGTTACTTGCTTAAATATCCATAACTCTAGAGAGCTCTTCTCAAGAGAAGCAGCATCTGGTAGTGCAAAGGGCACTGGATCGGAAGCAGAAACTGGATTTGAGATCTAAATCAGGAACGTCCTAGGTGCTCAGTTGGCCTAATGCCTTGTTTCTACATCTGTAAAAATGGGAGTAATAAATAGGATTTTTATAATGATCAAACAAGTTAATACACACGAAGCACTGATACATTAGAAATATGGCAAAATACAGGACAGCATTATTACCAGGATGGCTTATCGGATGAATGAATGCACGAGTTCTCACAGTTCACGCTGAATTCAGGGTCTGCCCAAAGGAGATGGCAGCAGTCTCATGGATCAGTTTTCGTTTTGTGGCTTGAGGGAAACAGCGCTTATGCCCTGTCATCCTTCCCACTGAAGATCAAGTAAGACAAGGTGCCCCTGACACAACTCACTTCAGATACAGCACACATTCGTGTTATGGCACATTACTAATGGAGGGAGGAGATGGGATGAAAATGTGGGACCTCACCTCTTACTCTAAATCCCATAAAATGAGAGAAAAGATACACTTCCTGTAGGGTTGTAGACTTATTTATCCATTTTAAGAAATTACCATCTTAGACTCGCTCAAGTTACCCCTTCTAACTAAGTCAAGATCAATGGGGGGCCTGGACAGAGGTGACCATCAAACACCAAGCCAAACCTATTGGGCTGGGTCCTTTTTGGGCCAGATTTTTGTCTATCATGCTAAAGGTCTGATAGGAAAGATACTTTAAAGTCCAAAACAGCACTGAAAACAAGCAGCACCACCATGACAAACCATCAAATAGTACTCTCAGCAGACCAGAGAGTTTTAGGAATTCTTGGATGATAGGGAGCAGATAGGAAGAGAATGTTTGAGAAACGACTAGAAGCAGCCACAGCTTCACACTCACCGAAGAAAACCACCACAGGAGGAAGATAGCATTGTTGATAAGACAAGGGCAGGAGAGCGTCAGAGGGGTTCATCAAAAGACTGTTCCACTCAGGTAGCGGGTCCCTCTCCCATGACCCACGCTGAGCAGTCGGCAGTGGCAGGGTTTACGGCCAGGCTAAAACTTGAGATCTGCTCTTTAAGACAACTGCCCAGGGAAAGGCTGGGAAGGAAGCAG